GCATATTACTTGACTAACGCTGTGGAAAGAACGGTGCTATAAGTTACGTTACTTAGGAGTAAATTACCACCTCTGCATTCCTGTTCAATATTCGCGGTCGCGGGTTATGACCGACTCGAGCCAAAATTGTGTGTGTGTGTTTTTTTTTTAACTAAAGAACCCTGGAAGATGCTTGTTTTTGTTGTTGCATGCTATTTTCCAGAAATCCAAGCTGCTCATCTTTGAAAAAGTTTTATACCCATGTGGCAACTGGTGAAAAATAAGAAGGTCTGGATTTTTGTTGTGACCGACTCGAGACCAAAACATCTTTGTCTTGACGTTGAAATGCTTTTCGCACTGTCTTCAGACTGCATTACGACGCATGAATAATTCATGCTGTTATGAATCCATTGAACTTTGACGCTCGTGATGTGTTGGCTAACGTGCTGGCGTGCCCCTATGGCCTATACCCGATAATACCAGGCGGGCATCGGCCGCCGATGTCGAAGCTACCGGCTCCTTTGATGTTCGGGGACAGTCCAAGATAGGCGTATGAGAAAATGATTGCTTATGCGCTTACCTTTTATGTGCCGCGGAGTCGAGCACGCACACCGGGCCTATGTGACGAGTAGCAACAGTACCTAGTAGATCACGCTCATAGCATACCGCCTGTTCGATGCTGTGCCGCACTACGCGCTACAGTTTTCCCCCACCGCCCATAGATGTCTCTGCCAACTGAGCGCCTGATGCATGCTGCGCCGCCAGGCTACATGCTCGGCGGCGCAGCATGCATCAGGCGCTCAGTTGGCAGAGACATCTACGGGCGATGGGGAAAAGCTGCCTCGCGTAGTGCGGCACAGCATCGAACAGGCGGTATGCTGTGAACGCCATATATGGGCCTTAGAGGAAACCGTCTCACGTAGTGCGGCACAGCATCGAACAGGCGGTATGTTATGAACGCCATCAATGAGCGATGCCACACATTAACGTGCGCCGCCCTGCAGTGCGTTGATAGCTCAACCGCCTGCATCAGCCACAGTGGCGGATCTACGTTGGGGCAAAATGGGCAATTGCCCCCCCCCCCCTAAACGGAAAACCTCTGGGCAAACATATCTTTTTGCCCCCCCCCAAAAAAACTGCAACTTGAATACTAAAAATATGGTGTTTGAAAAGAAAATGTGAAATAAATGGAGGACTAGAAGGTTGGCATATTCGTGATATTAAGTTGTGAGCTGATAAAAAGTCCTCCGCCCCATGAATGTCAGTCCATCATCCATCAGCAGTGCTACTAACTACTGCTACTGCTACCAAAAAAAAAAAAAATAAAGCGATTTATTGAAACCTTGAACCAAGTAAACAAACCGTCAACAGCAGACCGCCAGACGCCAGTGGGGTCAGGGGTAGAGGTGGCAAAAGATGAAAATTTTGGGAACCAGACTCGAACCAGACCCGGTTGGACATTTCTGGAGCCAGTCGGACCCGGTCTTAGTTGGAATCGGAACCAGTTGGACCCGTTCCCCAAAAGTCAATTAATACAAACTACTTGTAGGTATCATTAGTTGGCAGCTGCATCATGTAAAACAGCCTATTTCCAATTGGGAATACTCATGAGCTACTGTGTGCAAAGAAACATTCACTTAATTCACTTCATATTTTGTAATAATGTGTAGTGTGCAAGATGTATAGTTTATGGTAGGACCCGGTTGGACCCGTCAGAAAATTTCCAGGAACCGGTCTGGACCCGTATGGGTCCAGACTGGTTCTTTGGACCGGGTCCTCGGGTCCACATTTTGCCACCTCTAGTCAGGGGTCACCACACTGGTGAGCGGTTGGACGGTGGTGGGTTTGCATGGGTATATAAGAAGTGTTTGCATAATATTTTATTGCTAGATAGCATGGGTGTAGGAGCTGAAAAAAAAATATTGGTGGGTCTAAATATACATAAGTACCTAGCATTTCCACTGTGGCTACATTAGTTATGTCCAGAGGCGGATACAGCCATTTCCAAAAGGGGGTGCCAAAAGGGTGCCAAAGTCCGAGAGTCTCTACAAGAGCTGCATATGTGTATGCAGGACTGAGGAGCGAAAGGGGGTGCCAAACTCAGTTTTGGCACCCCGATTACTGATTTTGGCACCCCTGGCACCCGCCTGGATCCGCCAGTGGAAAGAACGGTGTACTGCGTGCCTTTGAGAACAAGTGTGAGATAGGTTTCTGAGAGGAATAACGTAAAGAAGATTACCAATCGCGGCTTTTTCATGAGCCATACCGTTATCTAACGGGGACAAACACAGAAAGGCTCAGTCAGAGCTTTTGGTTTGCGAGGTGTTGGAGAAGCTCAGTATGTTGTGGGAACTTAACGCTGTTCAGTGTAATTCCTTTGGCTGTTGCGCTGTGGTCACCTATGTAGTCTGTAGAAGTATCGTTTATCTCCTCTCGAAAGTAACACTTATTGTATAATTTTGCTAGCTCGCAAAGTTTAGTCCCAAAGTTAAGGAATGTTCATTGTAATTGCATCAATAAATGCAGGACCGAAAACAAATGCGCTGTTCTTCGTCTATTTCTTGTTGGGATTCTTAATCGACTGATCTCATTTTCTATTACCGGAAACAACTGTTAATACGAAATAACTGTAACTACGTGGCAACCCTGACTGCGTATATAGTATCGCAGGTACGCTGATGTGGCCTTTGGTCGTGGGCATTTACACATGAACCTGCTGCTGCGACCCTTATCGGTCTCCGGATACAGAAGCCCTTGAGAACCGGCGCGGGCGGACCTTTCGGACGAGGTCTTGCCGAGGTGATGCGGGAGGTAGAGGACGGACCGTCCATAGCGCCGGTGAGCTATTCTCTAACTTTCTCCCGGAGTCAGGGTGGCTGCAATTTTTTTTGCGCTGCCCTGGCTTGGCCGGGCTGACAAAAATGTAAAAAATCAAAAAAATCCCGAAATCCGAGGAGAAAAATAGGGGTAGCTCGTTTTTTTTTTTGTTCCTAAGACTGGACGTTTGAAATTCTCGCCGACTTGCCTGGCGGCGCAATGTTTGCCCCCCCCCCCTAAACTCAAATCCTAGATCCGCCACTGATCAGCCATATGAAGATGCACGCTACATCACGCACCACCAACTGAAATGTCTTTTCGAGAAAAGGCTTTTATTCGTTCAGCCTATTGACGAGGATCCACCCGCAAAGTGCACGTGGCACGCCCGGTGGCACAGGACCGTTCCAATTATAGTCCCACTATAATGCCGGAAGTTAAGACCGTTCCGATTTTGGTCGCACCGTAGCAGAGGAAGTCACTAATCAGGACCGTTACAATTACAGTCCCACTGTAATACGGGTAGTCAGGGCCGTTCCAATTATAGTTGCCCATAACACGGGTAGTCAGGGCCGTTCCAGTTATAGTCCCACCGTAATACGGGTAGTCAGGGCCGTTCCAAATATAGTCGCACCGTAGCACAGGTACTATAACATGGACCTGTCCAAGTGTTGATCTCAAAATGTGGTGCGGCTGCTTGAAGGTTACTGAATCGATCTAAAAAGCGCTGTTTTTTTAAAGATCGAAGCACGATGTTTCTCACAATAACTGGTGGTCCAAAATTTCATATATTGCTTTCATCGAACAAACATTTATTTAAAATACGTTGTAACTTGCAAATATTCATGAAACATTCCTTTTTTAAATAATGCAGCTCAAAAGCAAATGCCGCATTGAAAAATCATCAGTGGTTTGCTTCACTTATTTATCGAAAGTATTGACACATAACACTTCCTCTAGGAACGATGAATATCATATTTATATAGTAAAAGCGCGACATGAATACACAATCGCATGAGCTACATGGGTGCCTCGTGCCAGTATAGCTCTCAAAACCTATTTATATTAGGCCTCTCACCATACAGTTGTCATGATGATGGTACAGGCGACCTCTTGATCTACATATTAGCGTCCTAGTCATTAACCCTCGCACGACTAGGCCATTTCTCATAACACGAACGACCAGGGGGGGGGGGGTTGTTACGACCCCCCCTGGCGTTTCGAAACGGAAGGTCGTAGAGCTTAGCGGAAAAAACCAACGGATTGCTCTCAACGAGATCTCGCGATTGGTGGTATATTTTTTGGTCCTAGGTCAACATTTGACCTACTTTTGACCGGTCAAAGGTCAAATTTTCGGAAAAATATACTTTTTTCAACTTTCGGCGGCGATTGCGGCAAAACGGTGGCAGATATCGACTTGAAACCTTCACTATCGTGTTCCTTGATTAATTCTCTATCGTTTAGTATGTATTTCGTTTCCCTAGCTCTAAAAATGGCGCGTTGGGAGCGCCGGAAGTCGGCAAGGTCACAGTCGGCGGCAGAAATTCGAAAAATCAAAATTTAAATTTTTGAAATCTGATTGTATTTTTGGATTTGGGAGGTCCATTTGCTCCCTATAGAAGCTAATATTGCTGCATATTCCCATTGAGGTGACAAGAATTAGCAAAATAGTGGTTCGGGCGCTTTTCAAAAATAGTACCGGACGCTGTTCCTCTTGTGACGTCATAGCTCCGTGACCTGACCTGACCCGGTCAAATTTCTTATACCATATGATAGCCAATACTTGCCCCAACATGCATGGGAAGTTTCATCACGATCCATCAACCGATGTCCGTACCACCGGCAGGAAACCTCGGGCGTTGGCACTCAGTTTGTGAAAATCCGGCCGGAGGCTGTACCTCTTATGACGTCATAACTCCGTGACCTGACATGACCCAATCAATTTTTTTTTCGGCAAAAGATGCGCAAAGGTTGCCCCAGAGGGTATTGAAAATTTCAGCCCGCTACGACAAGCCGTTTAGCGTGCACTTCGAAAAAACCTCAGGGGGGGGGGGTTGATACAACCCCCCCCTAGGCGTTCTAGGGTTAAGCACTGATAGTTCTTGAGTATTTTAGTTTAAGTATGATGACAACTAAGTGCGTCATTTTTTCGAACCAATTAACGATAATACAGCTGGAATAAAAGATGAGAAGAACACTCTCATGACCAATCTTTCTTTTGAAACGTTTACGTCTCGAATTCTATTTTTATGCAAAGTCGTGAGCGTCGTGAGATCACTCGACACGGGAGCATGAGGTTTCGCCCGTGTCATTTACGGTCTTCGCAAGGCGGACCAGCTTGTGCTACTGGCCTCAGGAGCCGAGTTGCGATCACAGGTCACCGTGTCAGCTGCTGGGTCGGCTGACGTCACCAGGTCAGCCGGGGGTCATCCCGTCGGCGGCCGGCCGTCGAGCTGAGGGCCCGCCGACCTACCGGCACAGGATTGAGTGCAGACTGCCGTGTCCGAACGCCTGCGTCTCGATCTTGTGCTCGGTCCGCGTCGGACAGGTCTGGCTGGGCGCGCATGCGCAGTTGACCTGCACCAGGGTAGTCACCTCGCTGGCCTTATCGCTGCTCTGAGTGACGAACTTGCAGTGCTGGCCGGGACTGCACTGCGGCATCTGCGAACAACCAACGATCCACCTCCAGTGTCGTCTGTGTTTGGGACAACTCGAGGGACGAGAGAACACCTACTGTTGGAGCCCGCTGTCGGTCGGTAAAACAAACCCTTACTTCACAGCACTAAGAATAAATGCCCGCAATACCTGGCGCACAAATAAATCGTGACCGGTAGGTATTATTCTTTATTTTGCATAAGAGAACATTCAACTTACCAGTATTAGTACATTGCTCTTTAGCTGAAGAGATTTACATAAGTATAGTTGAAACGAGAGCCCTCACCGTCATTATACATTTGTCATCTACACCGTCTGTACCTATTTCCACGCCCCTTATTGTCATTCTACAGCAGGTGTGTCTCATATCATAAATTGCGATGCCTCATGATAAGCTTGCATAATTAGAAGTTACGGCGCTTCCCATAATGAATGATCACAGAACATGCTGTTTATAAAGCATCTCATTAGAGAGCAAATTAAGCAATGAAAACACGTCCTCATTTGTAAGCAGTGGATCGGTGCACCGATCTTGGTGCAGGCTTTGGTGGTGAGTCGGTGACCTGTCGCGCCTACCTTGGTGCAGGCCTTGGTGGTGACCATGACGTCACTGTTGTCGGTCTCGCTCCACTGTGTGTCGATCTGTTTGAGCTGGTGGCCGGCCGGACAGCGGCAGTGGATGAACTCGTGGTGCGCCATCGAGAGCCGCTCGTCCCGGTAGCTGACCAGCTCATCGGTCATCGCCTGCTGGCCCGGCGAGCAGACGGACAGGGTCGGCGCCTGTCTGCAGTACTGGCGACCAGAGGGCGGGGCAGGGGTCACAACCCTGACAGAGAGGAGGTCACAGGTCACAACACTGTCAGAGAGGAGGATAGAGGTCAGAAGCGAGGGTTCCTGTTGTGTCAGAAACGAGAGTTCAGTTCACAGTCTCGTTAGAAAGAAACGTGGTCAAAGGTCACAACAATCCTGTCAGAAACGCGGGGACGAAGATCATATTCCTGTCCCGAAAGAGGACGGAGGATGACGTCTAGCCTTTTCGTACCAAGAACTGACAGGAGTAAATACTCTTGTGCAAATCAGCTCCATCCCTTCACCTAGCACTGATTCTCTTACGTCATGGGAAGTTCTCTGACCTTACCCAAATGATTGCGTTGACCCCGGACCGCATGTGACAGCTGACTGACCTTATACTGATTGGAGCCGTGTGTCACCGAGCGGCCATCCTCTGGGTCCCAGAGCAGCGGGCACGACTGACGGCCCGGACAGTCGCAAAACTTTTCGGCGTTGATGCCCCACGCGTTGGCCTGCACCAGGCCGCACACGGCCGACCTCCTGCACGTCATCAGGCCGCGCTTCTGCGAACGGAAACGGAGCCACTATAGGCTGTTCCATATCAAGCTTGCAGTCGGAGTTTCTACGGCAGATCGCTCCTCCGCTCAAGAATTTGCGCCGTAAAATGTAACAGCTGTATGTACAGAAATCACGCACTGCTTTCAGCAGGGCACTTCGACTGCAAGCTTGAAACGGAACAGAGTATAGCTGCGGTGATGTGGACGCTGACAGACGGTCGGAAATACAAACGGATGAGGTTTTGAAAATTGGCGCCAAGTTGGCACTAAGATTAATCTGGATTTAAGCCAGGATTGCAGCTATTTAAATATAAATTGATTAGGACAATGTTACATTGTTTATAATTTCATAAACGCATAGTTGTTTCCGACATTCAAATAGGTAGCATCTCTGTAGAATATTTCGGAAATGAATATTCACAGGGACGAAAATTAATTCGATGTGGCAATAATCTCCCGGCCTCGCTTGATCACTCAAAACATACGATGTCAACTATGCAAGCTTTCAGCGATTCATTCATAATAGAATTGATGCTTAAAATTGAATGATTACGAGCGAGCGAGCGAAGCGAAGTCTTTTCAATATAACGGAAAAATCTCAGTATGAGCGACCCAGCCCGGCCCGGCCTGTAACGCTTTTGAGAGGCTTGTATCTCAGCAACCGCTGGACCGATTGGCCTGCGGTCTTTTTTTGCTGGGTAGCCCCATTCCTTCTGCCCCGTAATTGACTACTTTTGATACATCTCAGTGACCGTCGTGGCACGTGCCACGTGAAAAGTCAAGGGTGTTCAGGCTGTTCTGCAAAAGTAGTGATTTTGAGAGGCTCATATCTCAGCAGCCGCTTGGGCGATTGTCTGGCGGTAATTTTTGTAGGGTAGCTGCATCCCTTCTACCAAAGGTCAGATACTCTTGATCTATGTGAGGCACCCCCACTGCACGTGCAAAATACAAAAAAAGGAGGTGCCAAATTTGTTCCCATTTCAATAACTTACTTCAGGAACGCTCCATTTCATTTTCAAACAGTTAAGAGCATGATAAGTAAATAATGTAAATTGGGGCGTATTTGGCTCATTTTTGTCTTGATAGGTGCACTTCAAAATGACCGCTTAAAACCGCGATTTTGTGCATGCCAGAATAATTCATGAAACACAATCAACAGTTTTTCCGTAGATGAACGTGCACCTTATGCTTCAGTGCAGAACAGAAAAAGGATGCATCAGTAGTGATTTGTAGCAGTGCCTCACTGTTCTTCAGTAGGTACTGATAAGGCCCAAGCCAAGAACACACGGACCACGTACGTACCTCACACGGCTAATCAATTATATTGGTCTTATGGCAGCCATCTCACTGACGTATTACGTTACAGCTATGTAAGAAGGTTACGGCTCCAATTATACATCCTAGCATAGGTGTCGTTTTATAAATGACTGCTACTGGCAGGGCCCGATCCCTAAAATAACCTCCGTACTTCTACATAAGCCCTATTCCTATGGCTTTGCATTCTAAGAATGACATTGATATTCTCAAATTAGTCCTTGGATACCCACCACATTTTTGGAAAGTGACGCCCTTTAGTTTCACTACCATGAATGTACATAGGAGTATTAACTTGCTTCACATACTGTATAAAGCTTTTTAAAGCTTGAGAGAACTACCTCAGACCTCTCATTTTTAACAACTGGTTTCTACTATGATCATATGTAGCGGCACGTTCTCGAGACAAAGGAGCGGCCCTGCAGTTGCACACGTGCATAGTGGCACCCTAACCGTGAGAAATGGCATTGCGCTGCCCGGTGGGTGCCCGTTAAATATGCAAAGATTTGGAGCAGTCGGCCCAGATAAATGGGCCATGAGTTATTGCAACGGAAATAAGCTTGACATCTATTCACTTTGCACGTGACACGTGCGCCGTGCAGTGGTGTTCACCCACATGTTGTCGAGAACGCACAGACGCGTTTTGCACTCGTACATATTTGTCTGCAAGCGGTGGCTTTAGTCTCTACTGTCTTAGTAGGATATTCAAACTGAAAATATGTTGCATCTATATTCTATACCCTTGAATTAGAATAATATCTAAAATGCATTTGTTTGTCTTCGTTCCCTTTATGTGTATCTACTGTTTCTATTGCAGTTTCTAGTGTTTTCTGTCTTGCAGGATTTTGATTTCTAATGGTTGATGTGAAAATGTAATGCCTATTGTTACTGGAAGGTCTACATATTTCGTTCAAACTTTTCTCATTAGGTTGAAGTGTTTTAAGGTTATCGAGGACGGAGTTTGCATTCACTCATCACTTCGATAACCCTCCACCGATTGCTCGCTCGCCTACCAAAAGACCACACCACAGGCACTCGATCCCCAGGCACTCGATCGCTTACCTCCGGCGCCTCTGGATACTCTCTGAGTTCGTTAGACAGCTGGGCGACTATCTCGTTCGAGATGTCCGGTCGAAAGGAGGCGGCCCGCGCTCCGGCCACCATCGCCAGGGCCAGCAGCGACAGGGAGCTGCTCCGACACGACGGCATCCCGTCCCCGTGTGTGACCTGCCCGCGCCGTCGACGACGCCGACGTTCCCACGACTGGCGCGCCCACCGGCACCGACGCACTCTTATAGCCCCGCGACATGGCGCCAGTGGTCGCGCTGGCATGGGTGAGGAGAGAGAGAGAGAGAGAGAGAGAGAGAGAGAGAGAGAGAGAGAGAGAGAGAGGGGGGGGGGGAGTCAGAGAAAACAGTGTGAGCATGAAAGCTCTTCGGGCAATTATCTACTTATGACCGTTTGTAGAGCAATACACAGATCACCGTGTCGTTTTGTATTGAAATGTCATGCTTGATTGCCATCCGTTTGAGATCTCAGCTCATTAGCTATGCCAGATATGCATATTGCATGTGCATTAAACACTGGGAACTGATAAAACCGCTCGACCAAGTTCAAAGAATAATGAAATTTTCGTTTGAATTTCTTTGTGTGTCAATAGACATATATGGCGCGACACATAATGAACTGGAGGCTTTCTAATTCTTCTGGACCAATTTTAAATGCTATCGGTGGCTTGTCGTACTGCGCTGGTAGCGCGTGGCTGGACGGACGGTCCGTGACAACCTATTGATCTGTGGCTGATCTATTAGAGTGTCCGTCCGAGAGCCGTACGACGGCTGACAGAGCCTGGGGGTCGCGAACTGGTGTGGTAACCGTTACGCCCACCTGGGACGCCCGAGTCGGTACGGCACTTGCGGTGTCGTAACCGGATCGGCGGGAACCAGCAGAACGCTGTTGGACCGGCGGTGAAAGTCGGAACCGAGCACTCGCCCACCAGTGGGGCGTCTGGTCGAGCAGGTCTACCCGCTAAGGCAGCCTGAGCACGAACCAGTGGCAGGGTCCGATCAATGACCGTGGTCCGACCAGGGTGTCAGCGCAATGGCCAGTCAGAGGCGTCTTTAAGGGCGCGGAAGCCCACCTCGGTCGACTGTGGCCGGTGCAACCTAGTCAGGTCGTTTGTGTGAATCTCCGTGTTCTTCCCTCGCCTCAGAGTAGCCGCTCTTCTCCAAATGCCCGAGCCGTTTTCTATGTGTATTGTCTTGTAGCGAACAGCAGAGTCGAGAAACGAATTGACAATGTCGCCGAAAACCGCGGTCACATGCTGGCCGTCCCTAGTACTACCAATATGCCCGCAGGCGCGGCGAGAGACAAGCTTAACGTATGAGTCACCGTCCGGCTGCCGGGAGAGCCCCTACCGTGACCTTTGTTCAGTCATGACGTCAACACAATGGGCTCCTAAACGTACGGGCAGCGGCCGCCTCAGGGGTGCCGCCGTGACCTTTGCACGACACGTTCTATAGCGTATGGCACAGCGGTTACTAGGAAGGTTGAGGCCAGCGGCAGGCCGGTTTACAAATAACAAACATGACGCGCAATTGACAACAGGTAACAGATTGATTAATAAGGTGGTGACAATATAAATAAAAATGACAACATGAAATGACAAATCGCATAGATGACAAATCGCATAGATGATCCCTACAGTACCCCCTCGCCAGACATGTCGCGGACAAAAGTGACATGGCGATATCTTACCGGAGGTCGTATGACGCGGCCGGAGCGGGTCGTTCGTAGTATCGGCCGAGGCTGCAATGGTGCAGCGTCAGCCCGAGCGACGGCTGCAGGGCGAGTAGGTGCGTCACCGTAGATCAGAAGCTCCGGGCCGCTGGGCTCATTGCTGAGCGGTGGCGCGGCCGGCGGGCCGCTGGACTGAGTACCGTGCGGCTGCACAGTCGGCAGGTCAGACTGTCGATGACCGGATTCGTCTGGCGTCTCCAGGAAGGCGGCCTTACACCGGTCGATGCTGATGACCTCCTTTTTCTGTCGACGGTCGATGGTGATGGTTTTGGTGGTCCTTTCGGTAACCGGGAACGGTCCGTCGTATGGAGCGTCCAGCGGGTAGCGGTGACAGTCCCTGCGCACGAAGACGTGTGTCGCCGTCTGGAGTGCCGTCGGGACGTACGTGGCGCGCTGGACCGGACGTGGGAGTGTCGGCCGCACCTGAGACATGGCGCGCTTCAGGTCTTGTACGAAACCGGCCGGTGATGCTGCTGAGGCTTGGCTGCTGGTGAAGAACTCACCAGGAAGCCGCAGTGTGGTGTTGCCGGTATTGCTGCTGTTGCCTCTGCTGCTGCTGTTGCTGCTGCTGTTGCTGCTGCTGCTGCTGCTGCTGCTGCTGCTGCTGCTGTTGCTGCTGCTGCTGCTGCTGTTGCCGCTGTTGCTGCTGCTGGACGGTCGAATGGTGCCTTGCTGGAGCATCTTGTTGAACTCGGCACGTGCGATTTGAAGGCGCTCCAGCGGGAGGCGTCGTGGCCGCTGGTACACCGGTGGACCCTTGGTGACGATGTGGTGCGTCACGTTGTGCTTCACCAGTGTTGGTCCAGGTTTTGGTGTGGTCACATCCGGGTACCGAGCGAGGACAGCTGCGAAGCGAGCAGCAGCCTGCTCCCGGACGAGACGCACTCCGATGGAGCACAGCCTTGACCGCTCGGCGCTGGCGCAGACGGTGCCGTCCCGCAGGAGACGCTGGTTGGCAACGTCCACGACGAGGTGATATGCGGCCAGGAAGTCGGTGCCCAAGATGGGTGTGGTGACGTCGGTGACGAAGAATCGATGTTTCAGGCGGTGCTGCTGACTCAAGGTGACGTCCAGCAGGCAGGTGCCGTGCACCGCGATCGGTGAGCCGTTTGCCGCGACGAGCTGCTGGCCGACAGGAGCAGGGGTCAGCGTAGACCCGTTGGGCAGGCAGCGGCGAGGCAGCACGCTGACCTGCGCCCCGGTGTCGACTAGAAATTGCCGGTCCGTCTCCGTGTCCCTCACGAAGAGGAGTGGCGCGGCAGGAGGGGCGCCCGTGCTTTGCGCCATCAGCACGGGGCGCCTCAGTTTTCCGAGGCGATCCAGGAGCACGGCAACTTGCATCGGCGCGCTTGGGCGCCGAATCGCTGGTGGTACCAACACAGCGTGTCGTCGTGCGGCGGCGTTGAAGGACGAGCCGGTGACGGGCGGCGTGACTGGCGAGACGCCTGGCGCGGCCGGGAACGGCTGCGGTCGCGTCGCACGGCGTCCTCGAGTCGTCGGTTGCTGGCCTCCAGGCGCTCCATCTTAGCGACCAGGGAGGCGATGACGGCGTCCAGCGCAGGGGTTGCAGCTGGCGCCGGGGCTGTCACTGCAGCAGCGATGGGCGGTGCCGGCTGTGTGTACGGCTGTGCCGCGATCGCTGATAGCCGTGGGTCGGGTCCGCTAGCTTCCAGGTACCGGTCGGCCGCTTCTGCCAGTGCGTCAAGCGTGCTGTCGGCTGGCAGGAGGGCGAGGGCAGCACGGACGGGCTGCGGTAGCCGTTGTTGAAAGAGGGTACGGAAGAGCTCCGTATCAACCGGGGCGTCCCCGGCTGCGGCTAGCTCGTTGCGCATTGAGCGCAACAGCGCCGTCGGCTTCTGATCGCCGAGCTGTTGGCGGCCGAGCAGGGCTTGTAGTCGGTCGGCGCGTGACTGTGCCAGGCGGGCTTGGAGCGCCGCACACAGCACGTCAAAAGACCGAGATGACCGGATGACGTCCTTGACCTGGACGGCGATGTTGGCGGGGAGGTTTGCGACGAGGAGCTTAAACCTCAGCTCGTCGGAGTCGACCCCGCTGACGTCGAAAGCGCACTGCACCTGCAGTAGCCACAGGTCGGGCTCTTCCGGAGAGTATGGTGGTAGCCGGAAGCTAGCCATGGGCCGATGAGTTGACTCGGAGGCTGAAGCTGGAACGCTGGCCGAGTCTTGAGCTGCGGCGCCGGACTGTGCGCTGTCCGCGGGCATGACGAGAGGCTAAGGTCGAACAACGGAGATCACGTCGGGGTCACCAATTGTCGTACTGCGCTGGTAGCGCGTGGCTGGACGGACGGTCCGTGACAACCTATTGATCTGTGGCTGATCTATTAGAGTGTCCGTCCGAGAGCCGTACGACGGCTGACAGAGCCTGGGGGTCGCGAACTGGTGTGGTAACCGTTACGCCCACCTGGGACGCCCGAGTCGGTACGGCACTTGCGGTGTCGTAACCGGATCGGCGGGAACCAGCAGAACGCTGTTGGACCGGCGGTGAAAGTCGGAACCGAGCACTCGCCCACCAGTGGGGCGTCTGGTCGAGCAGGTCTACCCGCTAAGGCAGCCTGAGCACGAACCAGTGGCAGGGTCCGATCAATGACCGTGGTCCGACCAGGGTGTCAGCGCAATGGCCAGTCAGAGGCGTCTTTAAGGGCGCGGAAGCCCACCTCGGTCGACTGTGGCCGGTGCAACCTAGTCAGGTCGTTTGTGTGAATCTCCGTGTTCTTCCCTCGCCTCAGAGTAGCCGCTCTTCTCCAAATGCCCGAGCCGTTTTCTATGTGTATTGTCTTGTAGCGAACAGCAGAGTCGAGAAACGAATTGACAATGTCGCCGAAAACCGCGGTCACATGCTGGCCGTCCCTAGTACTACCAATATGCCCGCAGGCGCGGCGAGAGACAAGCTTAACGTATGAGTCACCGTCCGGCTGCCGGGAGAGCCCCTACCGTGACCTTTGTTCAGTCATGACGTCAACACAATGGGCTCCTAAACGTACGGGCAGCGGCCGCCTCAGGGGTGCCGCCGTGACCTTTGCACGACACGTTCTATAGCGTATGGCACAGCGGTTACTAGGAAGGTTGAGGCCAGCGGCAGGCCGGTTTACAAATAACAAACATGACGCGCAATTGACAACAGGTAACAGATTGATTAATAAGGTGGTGACAATATAAATAAAAATGACAACATGAAATGACAAATCGCATAGATGACAAATCGCATAGATGATCCCTACAGGCTTAGCATTGATTGTTTTTGCAACACATGAAGAAAAGATGTAAATACAAAGTGTTCTATCGTGACCGATATGAGATGGCCGTTTATATTGAAGTAGTTACTTTGGGTATTTTATATAAAGGTGTCGAAATAATTACTCATGGGCCATGGCATCGTCTCATAAAGCCTAAAGGATTTGTTATCTGAAATGTTATCATGCTTTTCACATCGCGCCTGATTTTGTCACTCATATGAAAAAACAGATATGTGCAGTATTGCGACCTATCAGGGGATATCGAATAGCCACTAGCCAGCCCGCCCTGCATCTCCCCGGGGCAGCTATATCCCGCAAGGCCAAACCGTCAAACCACACTGGTCTCTCGTGTGACACACCACGCTGGGACCGTTCACACAAGTAACTAATAGCGTGCAGAGAATCTGCCCTGAAGTCCCGGTCCCTGTTGGCACCCCTGCGATCGCGCCGATGAATCAACTAGCCCACGCCTGCGGACGGCGCTCACACATACCGGGAACGGTGGGGGCGCGATGTGCCAGAGGCCATCAAGTTCCACCTTAACTAGCCACCAACCACGCCATGCTCGATGCCGACGTTTTCCAATATGCTTACCTCCCACTCTTCTCATCCGTTGGCGTCATTCGTATCGCACGCTCCTACGCTCGTCTCTGGTGCGTCGTGATAAGCGACTGATCGTCTGTCGGCTGAATTTCCTGAGATGGCTGGCAGAGCGGCCCACAGCAAAGTACGCTCACCCACGCTCGTGGGCCTCGTCCCACGGATAGGTGCGGCTGAAGTCGCCAACACGGGTGATCAGGGCAAAGAGCGACGAGCTCGATGGCCGGTGGGGTGAGCAAACATTTACTATTTTTGTGGGTGTTTTGTTGTTCTTATATCATGCAGAGACCATTTAGTCACACCGTTCGCGTCCTTCTCCTTCTCATTCACCTTCTCGAGAAAGGAGGAGCTCCTCCTCTTCCTCATTTTCCTCGTATTCTAGCCTACTTATAATTACGAGCGAGCGAGCGCAGCGAGCGAAGCGAAGTCTTTTCAATATAAGGGAAAAATCTCAGTATGAGCGGCCCGGCCCGGCCCGGCCCGGCCTGTAACGCTTTTGAGAGGCTTATATCTCAGCAACCGCTGGACCGATTGCCCTGCGGTCTTTTTTGCTGGGTAGCCCCATCCCTTCTACCCCGTAATTGACTACTTTTGATACATCTCAGTGACCGTCGTGGCACGTGCCACGTGAAAAGTCAAGGGTGTTCAAGCAGTTTTGCAAAAGTAGTGATTTTGAGAGTCCCATATCTCAGCAGCGGCTTGAGCGATTGTCTTGCGGTAATTTTTATAGGGTAGCTGCATCCCTTCTACCAAAGGTCGGATACTCTTGATCTATGTGAGTGACCCCCAGTGCACGTGCAAAATACAACAATAAGAGGTGTCAATTTTTTCCCATTTCAATAACTCGGTAATTGCTGGGGCGATTTCGCTGAAACTTGGCATACAGGTAGGCACCCACAGGCAATGCATTCCCATGTGTTGCGGTTAGGGTGCTACTGCACGTGCGCACGTGCAGGGGGCGCTTCCAGATCTCGAGAACGGCTGGGCCGATTGCGCTCAAATTTGGTACACGGTTGGGGACCGGTTAGGAGGGTGCCGTGCAAAAGTCAGTTTGGACCCCGTTTGCACGTGCGCCGCACGTGCAGAACGCCGCTTTCAGATCTCAGGAACGGCTGTGCCGATTGCGTTCAAATTTGGCACACCGCTAGCGACCGGTTAGAAGGGTGCTTTGCACAAGTCCGTTGGAAGTACCCTCTCGCCCTTCCGCACGTGCAGGGCTCACTATCTCGCTCGCTCGTCCTTCGCCCAAAAGGCGTTTTACTGGTATTATCTTTTGAAGCACCATTATCATCTCGCATCGATACAACAGAAAGCATAGTACCTACGTTACGTGTGGCTAGAGACTGATGTTGTGCCCGCAATGCAACATCTCGCAACATGTGCAATACAACATGCTATGAGCCCCAGGGACAGTTTGAGAATACGTGACGAATTATAAGACAAATTTTAGACTGATTCTCCGTGCCAATAACAGTCGTGCCCTGATGCCACACCTGTTCGCTGTTCCTAATAAAAACTAGTTCCACCTTACGACAGACGTATATGAAATATGAATCGTTTATATCGGTACGTTGTCGAACATGCATCAGGAAATCTGAACAATTTTCGTCACCGGGGTGTGACTCTAAGTTCGTAGGCTTCCCAGTTCCCGGCTCCGTGCACTATAAAACGGCGTTGACTCCCACAAAGATATAGGTAAAATGAGTCAAGGAACATTTTTCTAAAGCCTATTTACATAGAAAAGCTTAAAACGTATTTTCTCCACAAAGTTCGTTAGCTACTCGCGGCTTTCGGTGCGTATTTGCATATCTTCGTAAGCAATCATATCGTAAAATCTATTCGGTAAGTACCTAATTGCTAAAAAATTTGGTCTGAGATCCCAGCGGAGAGCAAATCGTCAATGATTTTTTTTTCTTAAGGGGTACCTGAGGGCAGGCTAGTTATGTGACCTCACCATGAAAACTATTGGTTTAACACTCGCCGGCGGAGGAGGGGGGAGGGGGTCTAGTGCCACCCCCAGGACAACATACTACTCGACCGCCACCCTTGCAGCCATTTTACTAGTATAACTACTGGGCCGATCGGGACAAACGAAGCACCATTCGAATCAGTTTTATCATCAGATTCAGATTACAATTTTATCAGCCGTTTCGAAAATGGTAACTTCAGGTGACATCAGTGACCTCGAAAGGTCAACTTGACGTTTTTGCCTATTGCAAATCTGATTGCAATCATTCCATAACTCAGCAACTACTGAATTGATCGAGACGAAAACACCACCAGTCGATTGTGCCGTATGCGATTTCGCCAGCCGTTTCGAATATGGTGACCTCCACTTTCACAGGAAGATTAACCCGTGCGGGGCTGGGGGGGGTAAATTTTACCCCCCCTCGCGAATTTTTGCGATATCTCAAAAACGGCGGCGCGCAGCGCCGCCAAACTTTCAGTACCTTTTCTTACATCGATTTGACACGTTCCCTGAAAATTTGAGCGAAATCCGTCGGAAATTTTTTGAGAAATTGATGTTTTAGTGACGTCATGTTCGCCATTTTCGCCTCAAAAACGGCAAAAGTTCAAACGCCGCTAACATCTTCATTTTTAAAGGAATCAAGACGTAACAAAAAAGGTTATACGTAAGTTTACTTTGTCTATCAAATGGCTATCTCGGTTTTTTGAAAATTTTGGATTTTGGCCTAAATTTTTTCAAAAAACTGACTTTTTTGGGAAAATCATTATAAAATCCAAAATTTTGAGTCTATCGAAAAAACCGGAATATATGTCAGAGAAGTGGTCTATGTGCACCTACATACCAAATTTTAGAAGAATCGGTTCAAAAATGTGGGAGTTATTCAAAATTGTATGACGTCACGACACACAAAATTTTTGAAAAATGACTTTTTTGGAAGTTCTAGACCTCGTACGGAAACCAAAATAGCACCATTCGATTCGCCGTGAAAAACTGCATCAGATAGACACCTTTTTAGGCCTTAACAACCAACTTCAAAATTTGACCTCACTTGACCTGACCTTGACCTGACCTCGACCTGAAATTCATCCAGAGGTGGTCCATATCACTTATTGAGTGTGCCTATTGAATTCTATGAGTAAAATGACCCCTAAAACATGTGTCGCACATGCCCTTTTCTATATTTTGTTTTTTGGTGACCTGACCTGACCTGACCTGACCTTGACCTTGACCTCTGAATAATATTGTATGCAACGAATATTGTCTTGGTAGCCTAAGAACACGTTTTGGGCGATCAGTCTCAGTCCATGACTCCATTCTTCGGCAACTACGGTGCAAGGCCGATACTGTAGAAACTTGCAATTTGTACCCTTGACCTGACCTTGACCTTGACCTCAAACTTTAAATTAAGTACATGTTTTTAGTAGTTCGTGATGAGAGCTTTCGATTGGCGTTTGAATTTTCCAAATCGGACCATTAGTTTGGGAGATAACAGGGGGGGTAAAATTTACCCCCCCCCCAGCCCCGCGCGTTCGGCTGGAGACCCCAGCCCCGCGCGGGTTAACCTTACAGGACGTAGTATCCTTTAAGGCTACTATGGAATGGAATGTGTCCTCAGCTTTGACCTCAGGTCAGCGGTTTAGCCTCCAGTGGACAGCTATAAAAATATCCGTTTTTACGAAAAATCATTTTCCTGTAACAACTTTTGACTCAAGAGAGTTACGACATTATTTTTGCCAGCATCGTGCTCCTCTCGTCGAGACGCGTCGAATGAACTATAATTTGTCCTTGAAAGGTCATTTTGGAAATTTGACCTCAGATCAAGGCCATAACGGATAACCTGACCGGAAAAGGTCATGGTGCATGTCAGTCGATCCGTATCGTCAGGCTAAATACATCTGAGGTGCCTTCCACCGCTCTAGAATATCTCAATGATAAGTTATTGTCATAAAACTGCTGGGAACTTCATTGACCTGAGATGACCTCAAGGGCATAAAGAGGGGTCACGGATGCATTTTTCCGACTAAGTGTGTCATGTTAAGTTATAAGCCGACGCGATGTTTGAGAGTGTTTAGAACGACCTTCGTCCAAAAGAGGCGCATTTCAATTTTCTCCTAATGACACATAATGGGAAGGTCTCAAAAATGACCTGAACATAGGTCACAGATATCAAAATTCCCAGCTATAAATTTCATGCACACTGTTACTCTTTATCAATCGCCGAAACTTTCAAAGCGCTCGTTCAGTCGGTGTAGCTATAGCGAGCATTGGAACTTAACTTTTTTCTGAGGTAAGGTCACTTGACGTGACCTGGTGACCTGACCTTGAGCGACCACGTCCTTGACCTTGACCTTGTCTGAAATTTTCACATGTGCGGAAAAGATGCATGAACAGGTGAAATCTGAGGAGGGCCGAGGGAGGGGGCTTTTTCACGCCCCCCTCCCCCCCTACCCAGCACGGCGCGGGTTAAAGCGTAATATATCTTGATTATAGAAATTAATCCGAGCCGTATTAGGGCATACCGGGCATACCGCATATCCATAGAATAGAATCCCATGTTATTTTGTCTCGTGCGATTTGCTGGCCGGTCATCATTTCTGGAATTTCCTTCATGAAATGCACATCTCTCGATATATGGCAGCATTTTACTAAGGCAATTGTGGCGCGAAGTATTGCTTATTTTTGGGAGATTTGCGCACACAACACAGAGAAAAACAGACTGCGGGGAGAGTGCAAGAATTTGCTGAAAAACATTTTCGGGGATCTTATGGGACTAAATATTCAATGTGCCGGGCTATATACGTAATTTGAGTGAAGTATTGGCTGCTGTCTCTTTGTGGAGGTGCTGTTCATCCAAGAATCACCCAAACTGGTAGTCGCATCAAGCTGACGAGTTGTTGTTACTTCAACTTCGGTGTCAATTCGTTCTTTTATTTTGCATTGTTATCACTGTAATTACCAAGATTATTCTGTCTCAAATATGCTTTAAGCATATGGTTTGCTGATTTTCTATAAATAGTGGTAATTTATGCCATTTCTGGTGGCAAAAACTGACAGAGGAATGTCTCGGCATGAAGGTAAGGACAATTTATTTCATGCGAGAGTGTGCCGTGTGGTGCTTTGTTGCGCAGTGTGATCTCTGATTATTATCAGCATTATTTTGAAGATAGCATACTTTTCCATCACTATCAAATGCCTATTCATGTGATCAAACTGTTAGTTATGTACATCACTTCCTTTGTGCACTGAAAATGTTTGTCTTCTGTAATTTTTTCATTTAATACCTACTTTGCTATTGATGCAGATAGTGTGAATGAATCTTAGCAGTGCTTTTGTGGATTGTGGTCTTCTGTATTTAAATTGTGGGCATTTTACCGACTTTGTAGAGAAAATGTAAAGCAATAATAGTAATATATTCTATCCAATAACTAAAGAATGATATGACTTGTTAAGTTTAACTGTTTTTTTAATCCAACTTCCTTCCATTTACCTACAAAAGCTGTAAAATTAGATCATGTCAGTTATTTGCTCAAATACATGCATAGCTGAAAATGGTTTGACCTGCTCACCAACCTAGCTGCCACTGCAGCCACTGACTATTGTTCATTCGAGTGATATAAGAACTGAAATAGGTGGCAGATGAAGTTAGCCCCAACTCCCAAGCCACCCTCTAGGCCCTAGCTCAGAGGACATTGCCACTCCATTTTTAGTTACCAGGGCAGCAGGTTACACATTATAACTTGGTACTAAAAATTTCCTTTTGAGATTATAATAAATTCTCTTGTTTTTTTTTATTCAAGCAGTGTGCTTTATATAGAAGGCATTTGAATGCCTACCATCTCACTGTGTCTCATGTTGGAAGCTGTGTGGCATTACCAGGCTTTCATAACTAAGAGGTGTTATTAGACTGAAAAATTTCCAGCTTAATAGAGCTTATGTTGAAAGCTGGGTCCGCAAAGATTTTAAGTGTTCATTCCTTACTCAATTTTTGAAATGTATAAGAGGTATACTATTTATTAGTGCTACAGAACAGGAAACAGTAGAAATCATTAGTCAAATGCTATCACATTTTACAAGATGTGTGCTCACTAATGTTCTTTATTCTAAGCAACTAGCTTGTGTGATTGTAGTATTTGTAAACTTTTAATGCTTACCTCAAAATTTTTATTTTGTTTTGAAAATTGATAGCTAAATAAGAACAATTTTATCACTGAGAAGTAGGTCATGCAGGTGTGACAACCTATATGTACTTAGCTTTGAAGTAAATAACACAGGGCTTAGATAACTATTGTTTCTGTGAATGGTCATGAAGAGCTGCTCTTTTGTGAAATATGATGCCTGGTTGACATTTGAAGTCACTTTTTTAAAGATGTGATGAATCTAAACCAACAAAAATCAGTTTGTCAATATGAACATTCCTGTAACACTACAAGCTATATTCACTTCATTTTTAACTTATTGGGATTTGGGGTGGGAGGAGTCTTTGAAACATCTCATATCTTTCCCTAGCCACTTATGTCTTATTCTATATTGCCTCAGCAGGCACAAGATAACAAAGGTATATCATTGAATCCATGAGTGTTTGTTTGGGGCTCACTTCTAACACAAAGTTAACAGTTCAGGTGGTGTGTAATTACATCTGTTTCAACAAGCTTCTTATATAAATAGCCTTAATCGATGGGGCTCAGTTTTAAACGAAGCTTGAAATACCAGTTCAGGTCTGATACAACCTGAATTGGGGCATTAAACCCTGTCAACCTCACATTAGAGACAACAGAGGTTTTGAAGGTTAGGGGCAGGGGAGGGGGGAGCTAGGCCATTGGTGATGCTATCACAGTCCACAGACGGCCGTCGGATGCGGTGTCTGGTGTCCCCTCTGCCTCTGAAGTACTGTCATGTGACAAAATTAATCAGGAAACGCAACGTGGTACTGCTGGTGTACCTACCTAATGGCTCAATGTGTGGCCTGGGGGACAAGGAATGTAGATTCCAGGTCTTATGTGACGTGTGTATGTGGGGAATTTATGTAGCATTACTGGTGATGTCAAAACTAATTACGGGGATATCTTTTGTGCTTTTATGCAGAGGTTATATGCTTAACATAATGTGATCAGCCTGATGTACTGACTGATGATTGCTCCAAGCTTTGATTATTAAAGTATATTTATGACTTGTATTTGGTTTGGATCACATGCAGTCAAAAAATGTATGTTCCCTCACTTTGAAACAAAAGGTAGAAGAAATTTAGTTTTCTTCAAATTTTGTCCCCTTTCTTTGTCATTATACTGTTCTCATGCTTCACAATACCTGGCTTTAAGTAGCACCACCACTATGACACCATTTGTACGCACTAACCGCTGACCGTCCGCGGCAGGTGTCAGCTGCGACGCGTGTCTGCGGAGTAACTTCCGCGGCCGGCGCTACAAGTGTCTGATCTGCTACGACTACGACCTGTGCGCCGGCTGCCACGAGGCCGGCTCCACGACCACGCGCCACACGGCCGACCATCCGATGCAGTGCATCCTCACCCGGACAGATGCCGGTGAGACAGGGGGAGAGGGCAGAACGAGCAGAGACGCTGGAGAGGAGAGGATATAATTGGTGGGGTAGGTACTGGGCATCCTCACCCGGACAGATGCCGGTGAGACAGGGAGAGAGGGCAGAATGGGCAGAGACGCTGGGTAGGAGGGGTGGTGGGGTAGGGTACTGGGCATCCTCACCCGGACAGATGCCGGTGAGACAGGGGGAGAGGATGGGACAGGCAGAGACGCTGGAGGGGAGAGGAGAGGTGTTAGAAAGAGGTGCTGCTCGTCTTGGAGTGTCCGTCGGGTTTTACCTTGCACCACTCAATCAAGGATTGGTTGAGGCTATCACGGCGTGTGTGTGTGTGGGGGGGGGGCACTGGTTGTGTCTATCGAACACTGCTCTCTTAGATCAAGTGCTTCCGCTTATAATCCTGGTATTTGCGTATTGCGTCTTTTTTTTTAGGACGTTTGGTGTATTTTTTTAAGGAGTTTATCCAGTCGTCCTTGCTGACCTTCGTCCAGTTTTTTTTTTTCGATGACGCGTGTAGGTATGTGTCTTCATTTTCGTTACATTGTAGCTCGCTTTGCCACACTATCGCTGTGTAAATCTATCCATCCTTCAAACACATTGTACCCGTCAACTTTTTTTCACGCTGACTCGTCATGTGTGTCTGTCCGCTCACAGAGGTACTGTACGGCGGCGAGGCGCTGCCTCTGGAACAACCGCGCTCGTTTGTATGTCCGCACTGTGGCCGGATGGGCTTCACAGAGACGACACTGGCCGACCACGTCAGCGCTCAGCACTCTGACTCCGTCACACAAGTGGTGAGTATGGGAGAGAGGTTGGGAGGGAACTCGGGAAAGGAAAGTACAGAGGGAGGGGACGAGTCAGGTGTAGGGAGTTGGGCTCAACAGGGACTGGGAAAGGGGAGGTCGATAGGGCTGGGCTGAGTCGGTTGTGGGAGCTGGGCTCGGAGGGGACACGGAGAAGGGAGGTCGATAGGGCTGGGTTGAGTCCGTTGTGAGGAGCCGGGGCTCGGAGGACTGGGAAAAGGGAGGACTGTGGGGTTAATGGGTCGAGTCAGTTGTGGGGAGATGAGTTCAACGGGGAACACGGAGAAAGGACGTCCAGTGGCCAAGTTTGCGGTACTGCGCATGTCGGCACTGGGTTTTAACACGACGCTGCGTTGTGGTCAGCAGCGATGCGCACTTGGTTTGCTTGGTTTGCGGGGTATTTTTGGCATTCTTGGAGAGAGCTGCGATTTGTTAAACATGGGTACGATGCTAATAGTGCATCTTTGGTACGGTCCAAGTGACATTTCACATGTCATCTCACGTGATTGAAGTGTGGCCTCCCTGATTTGCGAACATATGTGCTAGCGTGCTACGTACGAATATGACTTATTTTGAGTGCATGCCGTGTACCTATGCTGGTCTTCTCTTATCTAGCGTGGAATCCGTTGTTGTTCGGCAAGAGAGAAAGAGTAGACGGTTGTGAAAGTGTGTTGAAACGCCATCTGCATGCAGTGATCAGCTGGCGCCACTTCTCGGCTGCACGGCACGTGTTTATCCATGACTCATGTACCTATTGACCGCTTATTGCTTAACACTGTGGAATGCGGCGCCGGCTTTACGTAGCGAAACCACCGTGTTGTGATCGACTTATTTTGCTGTAATCTAGTTTCCATCTGCATGTAGTTTGCCTCAAGTGAAGGCATATTCGACTTATCAACATTTGACCATTTAGATAACAGAAAAGTTTTTATATCGACTGTTCGGGAAAGTATTGTGAAGATTGGCTGCGCTGGTACTCGCAGATACTTCAGTGACTCAGTCACTAATATCACTGGTCTGCGATAACTGCTTGATTGTGAGTGAGGCTATATTTGATATAGAGGCATATACTATAGTTTTGATTATTTTTTTCCCTCTTTGGATAGAAACGAGACGAAATGTGTGGACCAAGTACGGTGATATCTGGGATAGTTTTCATTAGCTAAGTCCGTGGGGTTGATTGAATGGCCATTTTTATTTGTTTGTTCGTTGAACTACCCACCTTCATGTGGATATTCATATCTATGTAGCTCTATACCGAGCCAATTGCATCTGTAGCGTCTTCCATTATGACAATGAGAAAGGGTAGTTACTGCCAGGCAGCTAACCACTCGGAAATGGACAGTAGAACAAAATGTTATGTCAGTCTCCGAGTCTCAGTGTCTGATGGATGTCGTCAGGCCACGTTTTCCAGTCTCAGTATAGCTGTTCCGGGACCTTGTTTTTTCCGGCATCTGGTATACACTCAGCCGATCAGTGCTGGACCTGCGAAGGAGGGATTGCTTCCACTCACTTCCCACCAATCCCGGACCTCTGGCATTGCCGACATTCGGGTAGTTTCCATTATCCAACCCTCTGGCGTTGACGGCTACCTGGTGTTGCCGGCTCACTGGGGTTTGTCAGGCTTCTGGTGGTGGCATCCTTAGCCATGCTCCGATATAGCGGAGACTGGTCGATCTTGGTTGACTGGTGACGGCCGTTGATTGGCCGATGACTGTCGGTTATGTCGGTTATATGTCGGGTCGCTCATCGCCCGGTGATAGTCAGTGATGGCAAGTGGTGTATCTCGGGTCGCCCGTTACCCGTTGTAGGTCGGTGTCGGTGACTGGTGGTTATCTCGGGCTGCTCGTCACCCGGTGTCGTTTGGTGGTGGTGTTTCGGCCGTCTCGTCCGGTGACGACCGTCTCGTCGTCCGGTGACGGCCGGTGTCGGCGGCCGGTGACGGGTCGGTGGGGCCCCGTTGGCAGGCTCGCCCGCCCGTCGGCAGCTGGTCCGTTGGCAGGGCCGGGGGCCGGGCCCAAGTTGGCCGGCGGACAGCGGCCGAGGATGTCAGTGGCGGCGGACAGACCGGGCGACCGGGCCGGACCGCCGGTCACGGCTCCGGCTCACGGCGGGCGGCGTGACGGGACGTGACGCTGGTTAGTGGGTGCCGTGACGGCCGGGTGTGACACGGCGGTGGTGACGTCCGGTGTCCCGACTGCAGTCGCCGACAGTGATGTATGCGGGCTGGGGGCCGGCGGCGCGACCGGCCAGATAGGGACGGGACTGTCCCGCTGCACTGTTCTGGATAGGTCTGATGTATTTGCAAGGTTATTCGCTGCAACTGGCTTCGTGTTATCACGTTATGTTTATGTGGAGTTGGTATTCTGTGTCATGTCATTTACGTTTAATTCGGCAGTGTCCTAAACATGAATAAATACACGTCGTATGAAATACATGATTGACACTAGGACCAAGCATTGTATTTCTTCTCGTGTTTCATTTTCAATATAATACATTTACCACAAAACAACTTTGAAAATTTTTCGGAAATAAATTCATTTATTCCTCACTTTGATTTTCACGTTTTACTTTTGACCAAAGCTTTGTGTTTAAAAGTTAAAAGCACTATTGGTTTGAATCGTGTTTTTCTATTGAAAACCCAACCTGGTTTCCGGGACAACTTTACATAATCGTAGTTGTGTATATAGCTAACACGCCCTCGAAATAGTGACAACTTTTAAATGACTCTTTGATATTGTCGGTTTTTAATAATCACCTGCCCAGCGGAGTACAGCTCATGGAGTCATACTGACATGAAGTATTGGCTCGTCATTTTGATTGATCTCTAGCATCGCCTGGGCATGGTCAATATTTAGGAAAAGTGCCGCGAGTGTCTTCGTTATTTATGTCTGCCGTCTGGTTCCTTAGCTGTAGTTCAATTTATGGTCAGCTCACGACTATTCTTACTTGTTTGCTGGCTGTTTTGTGGGAAACTGATGATATCTTCAACTGCGAAACACTTGTTCCTCGGAAACCAGTCTCACACCATGGTCGGGTGTCTCGTTTTTAATTAGGTGATATATTTAGATCTAGCGTGCTAGTGATGGCATCGAATGATGGTGGTACATTATGCACTCTTGTTTCTTTAGCTGGGGAATTTTCGGGCTGTTATTTATGTATGTCTGACGAGTGGGAGGTTATTAGTTTTATCGAGACGTGGAAAATGCCATGGCCGTTGAAATTAAGAATTGGAAGGAGATGGTTTGCCATTTCGATCGTAGAGGATTAAACGCATTATGCTGTTTCTGCACAAACTGTTAGTTATGGACCTCTGCTTACCTTGAACACCGTCTAAAAATGCATGGTATATGCTGACCCTGTGTGCGGGCTTACGTGTGCCACCACATAAATGTTGTTTATCCCCAATGCTTGTTTTATCGACGGGGTGTGTCCATTTTGTGACCTTGTATCCTCAAGCGTGACCCAATTCCTGTCTCCCAGCTGAGTCCATGAGCGATCGTATCTCTTCCCGTCTTCTCAGTTATACCGCGTCTCGCCATCTCTCTACATAGTATGTGACCTTGTGACCCCCTTTCTCCCAGCTATGTCTGATGTGTGTGTTGTGACCGTGTCTTTCCACCCCTTCTCATATCGGGGACCATGTCTCCCCGTCTCCTGCAGGTGTATTACCGTATCTCCCCTTCTCAGGCATCTAACCACATCCTCCCTCCTCAGGCGTGTAGCCGCGTTCCTACTTCATGTGTCTGACCTCAACCGTCCTCGTCTCCCCACATGTGCGCCCGTATCACTCCCGGCGTCTCCCCCAGGCATCTGACGGCACCCCTCTCCGCAGGTGTGTCCCGTGTGCGCCTCTGTACCGAGCGGAGAGCCGAATCACGTCACCGAGGACCTGCCCACCCACCTGACTGTGGACCACCACCGCGGCGGCGGCGGCGGCGGCGGCCTCTCGGCTCGCGATCTCATCTCGTTCGGAGACGAGCCGGCGCCGGCCGGCCGCCAGTCGGCGCGCCGCGTACCGCACCCGGCTCAGGCGGGCGGCGCACCGCGCATCCGGCGCTTCAACACGGCTCACTTCAGGTGGGAGTGAGTGGAGGAACTGGGCGCCTGGGTGGGAACGGTGCTGGCTAGGACTGTGTCATATCGAACGCTTCTCTCTTTAGCCTGGAACCTAGCTTTGAAGTGTGCAAAGCGCGTCTCAACACCTCTCATTGGAGTACATGACATATTTTCCGATCTAAACTTGCAGCTCAATGCGCTATGAGTTGGGGGCTGAAAATATGTCATGCATTCCAATTGGATGTGCTGAGACGCGATTTGCACGATTGCCAGTTATGTTCCAGGGCTAAGATCAAGCGCTTTTGCTGATATTTTTTTGTTCCAGTGCCCAAGGAAGCTCTGCGATACCTTTCTTTTTTTTCGCTACACGAAAAAAATATGTAGGTGATGGATATACGGTGCTCATGTACTTCATTTGTCAAAGCATCATCAGCTCAGCGTTGTGGTTTAGAGGCTTACTGTTGTGGTACGCTCCACGTTCCAATTTACTGTTCATTCTATTTTATGCTGTAATGGTCGGTCTGTGTCCGTCTGTATGCCCATGTTTGTGCGTGTATCTGCGCCCCGCTCACCACTCCCCCGCTGTGTTCGCAGGGAGTCGATGGACCCGATCACGGAGCTCCTGTCTCAGCTGTCTGGCGTGCGTCGCGCCGCCACGCTGGTCTCTGGCGGCCCCAGTGTGGGCGCCATCGGCACGGGTACCGCCTCCCGGCTGCAGCAGCTGCAGGTCAGCGGATCGCACGGGGCTGCAGTGGGGCAGGGCAAGGAGAGATCTCATTAGACGGCTGGAGGCAAATTGAGCGTGTTTGACGAATGCAGCCTGCTTTGGTGTCGTCTATTTTTGTTTAGCGTGGGATACTTTAATTTGGCATGATTGAAGGGCTGTTGTTGATCTGTTTTGTATCTTTTTGGACCTCACCTAACACTTGCATATCGCGCTATTTTCATTTAATGGTCAATGATAATAAGTGTTTCAGTACCATTGCCTCTGCTCAGACTAGCTCACTTTCTGTTGTGTACGGCTCCCTGTCTGACTTACCCCGACGTCTCTGACCGGTCTCCCCCGCGGCAGGCGCAGGCGGTGCGTCAGCGCGGCGATCGGCCCGCGCGCCGTCAGCCGGCGACGGCGGGCGGCTCGGCCGACGGCAGCACGACGGCCGCGCCCGCCACGGAGGCCGCCGCCGCTGCCGCGCCGCGCCGCCAGGAGGCGGGTGCCGCCGCCTCCGGAGCCGGAGGGGCCACCGCCGCCGACGGACCCCAGTTTCTGCTGGCTAGGTGGGTGCCATACGGTCGTACAGGGCTTGTGTCTGAGTACAGTTTCACTGCCAATGTACCCCCTGTTGCAGTGAAAAGTATCTTGTAAGCTTATTACGGCTGACTCCAGACGGTGTCAGGTGATTCGCTCTGCCTTATCTCGCTATCCAGACGGTGATTCGTGCGGCTATTGGCACCGTTTGGCGCCGGTCTTCACGGCCGGTGGACGATGCTGACCGGTGGCGGGTCTCTGTTGACAGTATTCTGGACGAGGATGACTCGGAGCTGGCCGGCCGTCAAATGAACAGAGCCGATCGTAGCGCCTTTGTACAGGTGAGGGGACCGTAAAGAGGTACTGGGCCTGATCATATAGACTCGGGCGTGTGGTGCTTGTATTTCAGTTTGTAGCTCCTTGTGTCTGAGAAGCTCACCCTACAACACATCAAAAGTAAATTTCCTGAAACTACTCGTAGACCACGGCCCTCCCCGACAACGGGACCCAGCAACAAACTTCACACATGACGTGATTTTTAAAAGTGCCCTGCACGTGTCCGATCCCGTCGGCACGTGCCACGTGCACGTTCCTACGTGGCACACCACCCAAGCCGTCTTAGTTAGGGCTATTCACAAATGAAACGAGCCGTCGTTTTGATTTCCTGCTCCAGAAAGGTCATAGGTTTCTGAAGTCGATCGCTCTTTGATAGGTTTTACGGACCACTGTTCCCCAACGTTTTGATCATTGATGGAATAATTCGGTTTTAAAAAGTCATCTTGATAAAAGGGAAGTAAACCTGTCAACTATAAGAGATAGCTACTGTTTTTCGTGTTTCTGAGCAAATATTTGATGATTGTTCTTTTTAGAAATGGTTGCTCGGCGGTCGGTAACGCTTAGAGTAGCAGCTGTGCTTGTTCGACTATTTGTAATAAGTTAACGACAACGCTTTGTCTGGACCAAATATTCATTCGGTTTTTGTTTTGCTCCCAGCCTTTTTATTCCAAGTTTGATGTCAATAGGAACATGGCTTTTTACTGCACGAGTTGAGCTTAGCTATGCCTACTGTTGTGCTCTTCTCAGTTTACTTCAGTTGAGTTCCAAAATGTTGTGATGCCGATATCAGCAATGATGCGTACAGGAGCGATTTGACACTCCTGGCGCTGTCCGTTGTTTCAGGAGGTGATTCTGTCCACCCTTATTGACTCCATGGACTCGACGTCGATATGTGAATCGAGCGGCCGTCCGGCGGCGGCTGTCGGCGCGGCCTCCCCGGCTCCCAGCTCTGTAGTTACCAGCCAGCCGGCCGGTCAGAAGGGGCGGGACGCCCGACCTGCGGCCGCCGCCGCCGCCGCTGCAGGCCCGCCGGCTCGCGTGACGCCGCCGTCCGCCGGCCCTCCGGCCGGAGCAGCGGCGGCGGCGGGCCGGCCGGCCGCCGTGTCGTCGCGTCTGCCGGCGGCGCGACCGGGCCGCGGCGCGCCGCAGCTGCGCGCCTCGGGCCTGGTGCACCACCCGGTGGGCGTGGTGGCCGGGGTGCGCGGTCAGAGAAAGCCGCCGCGGCCGGCCGCCGCCGCCGCTGCTGTGGACGGCAGGCCGGCCGAGCCGTCCGCCCATTAGCCTGGCGTCGGGTACCGCTCAGGGTGCGCGCCGTCTCTGTCTGCCGCCGCCGTCTCTGCGGAGCCGGCCGGCCGCCCGGACCGGCCGCAGAGGAGTCAGCGCGGCACGGAGACGGGCGGAGCGGGCCGGTCCAGCCGCGCGCCGCGGCTCAGACGGCCCGGTATGCTGTGCTCTGCCGAGGGCCGCGGTGCCGCGGTGTACCGGCGTCCGGAGCCGGGCGCCAGCTCAGTCGCTCGGCTGCGCTGTAGTGCCTGTGAGTGCGTGTGCGTGCGGCGAATCGCGAGCGACGCGCAGTATCCTGACGCACAACCAGCCGTATGAGCTGCCGCCAGCTGCGGGGGCGGCGAGGGCGACCCTGCCGGCCTCTGGGCACTGCGCGCGGCGCCCTCTGTGCTAGTCCGACCAGACCGGCCGACTGGACCGCCGAGGGACCGGCGCGAGACGACTAACCTGGCTTCTTTCTGACGACACCCTCTAAGGAGTCACCGATCCCAGGTGAGGGAGGGGCGCGGCCCTCGCCCGGGACTGGGTGTGGAGCGAATTTCGCCGCGCGTGAGAGTTGCTGTCGTGAGCCCCGCCTTCTGAAGACGACTGATAGCGGGAGCCGGCGCGGCGCCGTCCGTCCCGGCCGGCGCCGGCTCTCGACCTCCTGTGATTGCTGTTTCTGGCGTGTGCGCGAATCTGTGTGTCTGTGCGCGTGTGTTCGCCGTGTGAACGTGCGCGTGTGTCCGGCGCTGAGCGTAACTAGGCGTGTTGGGAGGGGTCAACTCGGGATGTGATACAGTTATCAGTCGCGCGGGCGTCCTTCCCCGCTTAATGATGCTTCGATGATACACACACTAAATCACCTATAAATCTGTATATTACTGTGCTCTCCGAGGAATGCTATAAATAAAAGTTGTTGCTGTACCAGCGATTGCGTGAAACGATTAACATCGATTATAACGCGAGCGCCGGCGGGTCGCGACAGCGTATTGACACAAGTGCCGGTAGCTTCTGACCTCCCTCCCTCCCTCATCCCACCCACAGCCCTCCCCGCACGGACACATGACTAGATACAAAGCTCGCGCCCTCCGACGGCGCCCAGGCAGAGGCTACACGTCTCGGCCCGTTTAACTATACAGCGCACAACACCAGTACCGAACATCTCGAACGACAACACAGTCAGGGTACAAAACAGTCATCACTCGGCACCGCGGCGGTAAACAACATCCATCACTCAGCACGCACTCCTCGGCACCACGCACTCGTCACGTCCCGGCCGTTAGCGTCTTTTCGCCTCGCCCGGCGGCGTCCACACACACCCGTCCACCTCAGAGTCAGTGCGGCCCTCTGCTGGCCGCCGTCACCGGTCTCTACACGACGTCGAGGTGCCGGAAGTGCCGGTAGTCGTACGGCGCCGGCGGCGGCGGCGGCGCGTTCGTCGAGCGCGACGACAGGCTGCCGTCGTCTGTGACGGGTAGCGGCGTCGGCGGCATGAGCACAGTCCGCACCGAGCGCTCGCCGTCTTTGTCATAGCGCTGCGTCACGTAGTGCTGCCGCGCGCCGCCTGGCGGCAGACTCGACGCATAGTGCTTCTGCTTGGCGTCGCTAGGTGGCGGTAGCGCCTTACGGCGGCGCTGCAGACAGCAGACGGCTCCGAGCAGGAAGCCCACGAGCGCGACCACAGGCAGCGCGATCAGCAGCGCCTGCATCGAGTCGGCGGGAGCTGCGAACAGGAAAAGGGGAAGCTAGGTGACAGAACGAACCGTGAACGGCACCGTGCCGGAACGTACCGGAATACGGCAACCGTGACAGGAACGAATGACAGAACATCGAATGCAGCAGAAACACTTATCATCGAATCATTAGCGTCACAAGGCGGGGAACAAATGACCTAAAATTGCCGTGATCGATCCGGACTTAGGCGCCAGGGTGGCCATACAAATGGTCCGTGCAATATATGACCCTGATAGGACCGACAGGGCACGGGCCCCCGGTCCGAAGATTTAGCCGTGCCACTTCGTCCGCCCCGTCCTTTGTTGGGGCGTGATCACCAACCGTAAATCAGTCCAGCGGCCTAAACGCACCCAACAGCCGCATTAAGTTGCCGATACCGTCAAACTTGGTCACAAGTTCGCCTCCACCTAGCGGTTGATAGCTCCTTAGTCCGCGCCCGACCCGGGGACCCGTGGCAAATTCTTCCGACGCCCTCGGTTACAGATTTCCGGCAATTTTTGTGGGCCAAACTTTGAGCGCGCCGCCCGGCTTTCGCCCATGGTAGCCGGAACGAACGGCGACGATAACTCAGGGAAACACGAACATAACATGGGCATGGATGATATAACACTGGATTGGTGTCTCGTGGAAATTAACATTGGGATCCGCGACATTGGGATCAGGCCTGCCATCTAGCGAGAGAATTATCGTAAGTTAGGAGCAAGCCGAGTGAACGCCATCTCTCAGCATTATGACACACGTGGGTGTGGTGTGTTAGTTGGCTTGAAGTGCATATTCCCACGAGTTGGCGGTAATCTTACTAGACTTGAGACGATAAAAAATGTCTTAAATGCTTGAAAGCCAAAAATGTCAAGCAGCATTTAGGTAATAACGAAAATAAAAAGGGTAAGACGGTGTGTATTAAAACGCCCAGTCCCATCGGCTTGCACGACCTTAACAATGGTCATTTACTCACAATGGTACAGCAGTTTGACAATATGTCATACATATTTGGTAGGCTTATTCCTTCTTCTCCGAATGTCGCTCGATTTCTTCATCTTAGTTAATTGTTCCGGCACGTGCCACGTGCCAGCTTAGGGGTGTCGAAATTGTTCCACATAAAGTAACTCCGCACTGGCTGGGAGTAGTAAAGTAATCTTGGCTGGGCCCATTACAGTAAAACTTTGTCAATAGTTAGACACCCAGTGGCCAATGCATTTTCATGTGTCACTATGAGGGTGCTACTGCACGTGCTCACGTGTGGGGTGCCGCTTCCATATCTCAAGAACGGCTGGGCGGATAACACTCAAACTTGGTGCACAAATGTCACATCGATGCTCGCACTGCATTGATCAGTGCTTACATTGGTGCAGAGTCGTTAGGAAAACGATGAAATGAGATGCGTGGTGTTTATGCCTTTCTGTTCCAGCAGCTGATTGATCCGCGACACTGGAGATCCTTGTTTTTGAAGGCTTCGTCTCCCTTTTCCACCCCTTGTTTAAAATAACATTAACATTGTACGAAGAAGATCACACATCAAAGCTGTTTTAGGCGGCTATCTTGGGCCAGGGCTGCGGAGTTGTAGTCAGAGCCAGCGGTTCAGTTCCGACTCGGAGTCGGTTGATTTTTAAAAGCTGTAGTCGGAGTATGAGTCGAACGTCACCGAAAAGTCATCGACTCCACAGACTTACCAGGGCTGCAGAGTCGGAATCAGAGTCGGAGTCTCTGTGAATCGACAGTTCTGCCCGGAGGAGTCGGAGTCGATATTTGGATACCGGAATCGGAGTTGGAGCCAAAGTCACTGAAATTTCATCGACTACGCAGCACTGGTTGGGTCCTTTTCATAGAGCGTCTTGAATGACATATTGAGCGGCAATGACGTTAGCAATTCCGTTCAACTTTTTCATTAGACTTATAGATAGTACTTAACGTTCGTTTTGTTCTTTGATCGGACAATTTATTTGATTCAGGCCAACTAAAGACTCGTGTGAAAAATAGCGAAAACGACACGTGCTGGCGAAGTCTCCAATAACTCCCTGTTTCACGATTTAATGAGGAAAAAACATGGAACTGCTTATCTTATTACTGACCCTGCACATAAATCTATTAATTTCTTCACTTTTACTGACATAGGAAGACATAACCTTTTGAAAAATTGCACAACAAGCCCGCTACTACACCACACTCCCGTGTGTCACAATGCTAATCAGCGGCCTTCATTCGGCTTGCTCCTAACTTACGATAATTCTCCCGCTAGATGGCAGGCCTGAGCTTAATGTCGCCAAAAACTGCGAAGACACCAATGCAGGGGCGCACCCAGGATTTTCCAGGGGAGGGGGCCCGGGCTCAAAGGGGCCTCCGTGTTCCGCTTGCCAGGGGGCCTTTTCTCTATCGAGGGGGCCTCCAAATGGCTTACTTTTTGACGGCCTCTGTATGTTTGGTGACGTTCTTAGCGTTATTAGTAAAGCTTAACCCTCACCCTGGCAGGGGGGTCGATGCGACCCCCCCCCCTAAGGTTTTTCAAAGATAGCGTAAAATTGGCGGCGCGCAACGCCGCTAAATTTGGCACAACCTATGGGGCAACCTTTTTTCATGTGATCTGCAAATTTCAGGTCCGGTCGACCTTGGGTCAGGCCACCATGTCAGAAAAACGGGTACAAGGTTATGGTCAAATTTAATTTTTTTATGTACCTGTCCAACGCACAGTTTTGGACTGATTTCCTTCAAACTTTCAGGATGTGCTAAGTTCACCGAGCTGTATAATATGTAGTTCGTTTTTTATGTCACTGACCTGAGGTCAGTTAGGGGTCATTACGTCGTAATGTTAAGCCTATGGGAAAATATTCAAATAACTCCTATTCGGAAAATATAGAGATGTCCGCTTCGTTGTATCCCTTTTGTTCTTTGATACCACAGTACTTAACATAATGTCACTCGGTGTTTCTTTGTTTGGTGTACTTATCTAAGGTTCAGGTCAAATGAGGTCAACTCAGGTCAAATGACGTTTGTGCCGATAACTTGTCACATAATAGAACAGGTTTCAAAATGGTATCATTCTGTTCCTCTTGAACAGCTGAGTCGAATAATATGCAACATTAAGCATTTCAACCATTCCTAAGACTTAAGTTTTACTTAAGTTGTGCACTTAAGTACACTTTAATACCTACACTTTTAAGTACACTTAAGCAAACAAAAAAAGTATATCATTCGACACGCCTTGACGTGCTGAGTTCACTGGTGCTTTTGTTTTGCTCTATCTTAACCCGCGCCGGGCCGGGGGGTGTTTGAACACCCCCCCCCCCGGCGGCTTTTCGCAGCTCCGCGCCGCCGTTTTTAACACACCTGTTCGTGCATCTTTTCCGCACATGCTGTGAAAATTTCAGACCCAAGTCTCTCAAGGTCAGGTCAGAAACAAATTAGAATGTTCGTCATGGCTACACCGACCGCACGATTGCCTTGAAACTTTCAGCGATTGATGAGAGTAACAGTGTATCTCGTGTATCCTATAAAATCGTGTATAAAAACCTATTAAACGTGTATCTCGGAATTTCGATATCGGTGACCTAAGGTCAGGTCAATTTTGCGGCCTCTCTATTATAATTCAGTGGGAGAAAATTGAAAGGCGTCTGTTTTGCACGAACGCCATTCTAGACACTCTCAAACATCGGGATGTAGGTAAAATGGACACACTGAACCCGAAAATTGCACCTGTGACCCGGAGTGTGACCCCTCGTTCTGAGATGTCCCCGAGGTCATCTCAGGTCACGAATAGTATCTAACAGTTTTTTGCTAATAACTTCTGATAGAGGCATGATAGAGCGATGAAAACGCCTTAGATGTGTTCGGCTCGACGATGCGGATCGACTGATATGCAACATGACCTTTTCCGGTCAGGTCCTGAGGTCAAATTTTTAAGTTGACTTTTCAAGGTCAACTTATAGTTCATTCGACGCGTTTTGACAAGAGGAACACGATTCTGGCAAAAGTAATGTCGTGGCTTTTTTGAGTCAGAAGTTATTGCCGAAAAACACTGTTCGTAAAAAACGGCTATTTTTGGAGTTTTTGCCCTCTGGAGGCTAAACCGTTGACCTGAGGTCAAATCTGAGGACATATTGGCGAAAGAGCGTCAAAAGAGCTATCGAATGCGCTTTTCCGCGGCGCTGTAGCTCTATCGGTTCCCGAGTTAGCCGTTGGCAGTTTCCAAAATGTTGAAATAGCCAACATTTTACCTTTGGTGACCTCTGGTAACCTGACCTTTGACCTGACCCAAAAAATGACTGAAGTGTTTTCGTACTTATTTTGGACGCTCTTTTGAATGCCGCTTACCGCGTGTCGCTACGTGACCCAGGAGCCGAGTTAGAAGGGGGGTTTTCAGACACCCCCCCCCCGGCCCGGCGCGGAAGTCGCGGAGCACCTGCCCGGCGCGGGTTAATTAGATCAAAAGTTATCAGCGAAAACTTTTGACCTGTTTTAGCAAATTTTTTACAATTATACCTCCCAAAAACCCCTAAATATTGACCTAGAGCAACCAAATTTGCACAGGGACGAGGATTTTAAGAGGGCCACCTACCTACCAAATTTGGTATTTCTAGGTGCCATAGGATCCAATCGCGAGGGGGGTCGCATCGACCCCCCCCCTCTGCCAGGCCGCGTTATGAAAAATGCCCTGCCAGGGCGAGGCGCTGCCCGGATAGGACCTCTTGTGAAGAGGGGCCTCCTATCCAGAGATGGCCTCTTTCCCAGAGACGGTCTCCTTCCAGAGGGGATCCAGAGAGAGTCCTGCCAGAAGGGGCCTCTTGTGCAGAGGGAGCCTTCCATCAGGAGAGGGCATAAAGGGTCTCGTTCAAGAGGCCAGAGGGGCCTCCTGACTCCTGCCCCCTGTGCAGAGGAAGCCTCGGGGTCTCCTGCCCATAAAGGAGCTCCTGCCAGATGGGGCCTCCTGGCTCCTGCCTAGATAGGGCCCTCTGTGCAGAAGGGAGCGTCCCATCCAGAAGGGGCCTCCTAAGCATAAAAGGTCCTCTGCCAGAGGGGACTCCTGCCCATAAAGGGTCTCCTGCCAGAGGGGGCCTCCTGGCTCCTGCCCACAAAGGGCCTCCTGTGCAGAGGGAGTCTCGGGGCCTCCTGCCCATATAGGATCTCCTGCCAGAGGGGGCCTCCTGGCTCCTACCCAGATAGGACATTTTGTGCAGAGGGGGCCTCCTGACTGCTGCCAAGATATGTCCTCTTATGCAGAGAGAGACTCCCATCCAGAGAGGGCCTCCTGCCCAGAAAGGGTCTCCTGCAAGAGGCCAGAGGGGCCCCCTGACTCCGGCCCAGAAAGGGCCCCTAAGTAGAGGAAACCTCGGGGCCTCCTGCCCAGTATAAGATTTCCTGCCAGAGGGGGCCTCCTGCCCAGTATAAGATTTCCTGCCAGAGGGGGCCTCCTGGCTCCCACCCAGATAGGGCCATCTGTGCAGAAGGGAGCCTCCCATGCAGAAGGGGCCTACTAAGCAGAAAAGGTGTCCTGCCAGAGGGGCCTCCTGCCTATAAAGGCTTTCCTGCCAGAGGGGGCCTCCTGCTCCTGTCCAGAAAGGGCCTCCTGTGAAGAGCGAGCCTCGGGGGCCTCCTGCTCATGAATGATCTCCTGCCAGAGGGGGCCTCTTGATTCCTGCCCAGATAGGGCCTCTTGTGAGAGGTGCCTCAAATCCAGAAGGGGCCTCCTGTGCATAAAAGGTCCCCTGCCAGACGGGGCCTCCTGCCCATCAAGGGTCGCTTACCAGAGGGGGCCTCCTGTGCAGAGGGAGCCTCGGGGGCCTCCTGCCCATGAAGGATCTCCTGCCAGAGGGGGCCTCTTGATTCCTGCCCAGATAGGGCCTCCTGTGAGAAGGTGCCTCACATCCAGAAGGGGCCTCCTGCCCATCAAGGGTCGCCTACCAGAGGGGGCCTCCTGGCCTCTGCCCAGATAGTGCATCTTGTGCAGAATTATAGTAGGTTAGGCAGGAAAGTCAAGTGTAAAAGTACCCTAAGCGGTGCTCAGGGGGCCTCCTAATTATGACCGAGCGGGGGGGGGCCCGGGCCCCAAGGCCCCCCCCTTGGGTGCGCCACTGGGTGACCAATCCATTATTATCTCATCCATGACATGGGTTTGCCACTTATAAAATGGGACCGGCGCCTGCAACTCGTGTGAACTGGGGTGCTGAAACACGCCCGGCCACACAAAAATGCTTATCAGCGGGATCCGTGCCGGCCGCCGGAGCCGCACGGACGCACCCATCTGTTACACGGCACCGCTGCTGGGCCGTGACTCAAAATGGATCAACATTCGCTCGGTGAAGAGCGTGAGGCCTCTGGCGCTCTCAAACATCTAATGGCATCCATCCTATCTTAACTTACTTTTGGCGACTAAACACACCAATCCATATGAAATATTTGTTGAGCAATGCACATTGCACAGGCAAGTTGCATGGTTTTATTGGTTCGGTTCATACAGGTCATGAGTGTTACATTCTAAGGTATATATGACATGTGAGAACGTAGATTACTTAGAGCCGAGCCACTCGTCCTTCTCACCCTCTCACCGCCACCTGCTCCGTGCTCACCACCCTCTCACCGTCCCGTTGCTCACCTGGCGCCACGTGCAGGAACGCCTCTCGGCCGCTGAAGCCGTTCTCATTAGCCGCCATACAGACGTAGACACCCTCATGGCTGGGCCGGACGGCCGGCAGGGTCAGCTTGGTGAGGTAGCGGTCGCCATCCTGGACCGTGTGGGCGCCCCCGGAGAGCACCGCGTACCGGCCGTCTCCAATCATCACCGTCTGGTTGAACCCGTCCGTGGCGGAGGGCCCCAGCTTGCGCACCCACTGCAGCGGAGGAGGGGGCGGTCAGTTCAGGGAGGGAGTCCGGACAGTCGATAGGGTAGCGGAGGTACAAATATGGTGTCGAGTGGGTGGCCTTACGCCTGAGTTATGCATGAGCTGTCATTTATACTGCAGCGGCGTGAAGGGACAATGGACTTACGTCAGAGTCTTAGGCTAAGAAGCAGCAGGTGCCAGCAATCACACCTTCCGGTCAGTTATTTAACTTTCAGTTTTCAGCTGACATATGATAAAAATACAGCGACTGCTTTCAAGCTTTAATGTCCTGTAATTCTTCCAAGAATAAATACAGCTACAACTTCTCAGAATAGTTAGACATCTTAAGCGCTATGTTTTCAAGTTTCAAGTTTTAGTGTCCTGTATGCATTCCAGAATACCAGTACAAACAGGGCGGCAATAAGCGAGCCCCGCTGAATCGACCCACCCATCCGCGAAAGTTCCAATAAACTCTTGTTTCCACCACCCGACATCCTGCCGGTATCCCGTCCGATCCCCGGCAGTCAGTCAGCCGACCAGCGCAATCCACTAACCCGCCCAGTGTGATCTGCCCCGGGGCGAGACGCGCGCCTCTGCCCCGGGGCTGTAATTTCCGCTCCTCTCCGCACGCGGGGAGGGCTAACAGAAGGGCGATCCGACCCGATCGGGGCCTCTGTCCACACTCCGACCGCCCGGGGATGTGGGCAAGATAAACGGGATGTCGCTGCGGCACTCATGGCTCGGACAGGGCGATCCGACGTCGGGCCGACGATGCAGGCGGTCTCACCTTGATGTGCGCCTTGGAGATGCTCTGTATGCGGCATTGAAGGACGGCCATCTCTCCCTCGTGCACCGTGGTGTTGGCTGGAGCCGCCAGAAATACCGGGTCCGGTGACAGCGGCTCTGCAAAGAGCGACAGCGCGTCAGAGATGGAATCGGGCGATGTAACGGACTGTAGCGGTACTCGGCCGGTCGGAGATACCGGCTCGGCCATCTGCCCCGCCGGCGGCGTCCGCTGGGATCTTGTATAATGCAATCGCGATCGGTGTAGGTACACAGGAACGTACATGTGAGGCGCTTGTACTACATCGTCTGAATTTCAAACGAGCTGGCCGGCAGTGTTGAATGTCGCCCGGTTTTATGTAGACAGAGATTTGGGTTGGTTCCGACGACCGATGACGGGATAACGACGATATGGGTACGGCGAACTGGGCTGCGACATTCCTGCGGCTGCGACATAAGTCATTCGTCTTTGTTTTGCGAGTCAGGAATCCAGTCAACTTGGCCCATTCAGTTCGGTTAATTATTCAGTGTGTAAAGGCCAACTGCTGAACTACCGTCTCCAGTCTTTCATTCAGTAGCTGCACCACCTTACCTTACCCAATCAACCCAACTCCACTCATCCGGCACCCTGCACCCAGCACCCAGCACCCGGCACCCAGCACCCGGCACCCGGCACCCAGCACCCGGCACCCAGCACCCGGCACCCGGCACCCAGCACCCAGCACCCGGCACCCAGCACCCAGCACCCAGCACCCAGCACCCGGCACCCGCACCCGTCAGTCGACGCACTGCACCCCGCCAACCTAATAATGCACGAACGACCGCTTACAGCCATTCACCATGAGAAGGCAATCATTTACACAGAGACCCTCGACAAACACACATACGCACACAAGCGGCGGCGGCAGCCGCCATCGATCCACGTGCCATTGTAAAAGTTGCCGGAGGCGGCGACGGCCGGCAGACTCATTACGACTGCGGCACTGTCGTAATCACGCAATCAATGTGACACTGTCGCCGACAAAGCCGGCGGCTTAGCGGGCACCGCTCAGCACGCGGCACGCCTTCGACGGCACCGTCGTTGGCGGCAGTCCATCGTGTGCCGACTGCCGTCGTACTGGTCGCATGGAGACGGCACAATGGGTCGTTACGTGTGCCATGTGTGGTATGCGCTGCGGGCGGAGCGGCAACTTGTGGTGGCGGGTGCGGCGGTGGTGGGCGGTGGGTAGGCCGACGCGGCACGCGCTCACAGGCTGGTGTGGGGGTCGGAGGCTCACCTGTGGTCTGCAGCGTGAAACTGTGGTTGGCCGAGCCGAACACGTTGGAGGCCACGCAGATGTAGACGCCGTCATCAGAGGGCACGAGCTGGGTGAACACCAGGGTGGGCCCGTGGATCTGCACCCGCACCGACTTCAGCACCGCGTGGCCACTCTGAGAGGGAGGGCGGTGGTCAGATATCAGCAGCACGAGCCCCCGTTCAGCCAGCCGCCGGAACCTCCGTGGCCGGGGCAACACCGCCCACCGGCGCCCGGCAGCAGCAACATTAGTCAGACCATGTTTTATGTTGCAAGTTGCCGGTTTACGAGCGATTCAACTTTCAGCGTTATGCTCACGATAAATAGAAGTCTAAGCGTCTTGAGGATGATAAATGCCTCGCTGGGTTATAAACGTTTGCGGTAAACCATTTAAAGCAGACGAATATATCATAGCATTCCTCGGCAAAATGCATGACCGTAATCATAGATGCCATATTTTAGGCTCCTAATAATGCAAGCGTTCCGGACAAGAGTAACAAATGCACGAACAATTGGATGATGAAAATACTGCAGCAAGAAGTAGAACATGTAATGCAGGATCTCAAAATGCGCGATGGAAATCACTAAAAGCTTTAAGTTGGGATCAACAAGTTGGCAAAATAATAATCGTCAATCGAGAGCAAGCGCACCGGAACTACCTCAGCTCTCCGCCATTAAAGCTGGCAGACCCCATGGCTCACCTTATACCACTTGACCTGCGGCTCGGGGTAGCCGGATGTGGTGCAGGTCAGGCGGTGTCGGGAGCCGACCGGGCCGCGCACCACGGCGCCGCTCGGCCGCTGCAGCAGGATCACCGGCGGGCGACCCAGCGAGGTGACCAGGTTATCTGCCATGACACGCTCACCGCCGCCCGCGCCGCGCCCGTTGTACTGTGTGGACGACTTCGGGTCTGTGGAGGGGAGACGAGAGGTCAGAGGTTGCAGTAGGGACAGGAGAACTGTGCAGGTCTGACTCCGGGCGCTGCGTGTGGACTGAGGACACGTGGAGTTGATTTCAGTCCGGAAACAAAACTTAGCATCGTGGATGTCGAATTGAAGGAAGTGGGTCGATTGGATGAATTGAGTTTGAAAATTCTGACCGAGCTCGACGAATGACTGAAACACATAAATCGCATTAAGAGACGATAATCCCATAATGAAGTTATTCGAAGTCACCGCAGTAGGGTGGGCTTTGTTCGAGTCACACGTGATAAGGCCTGGCTACACTATGCGTTTTCTGCGTGCGTTTTTGCAGGTTTGCGTGTTTTGCGTAATATCGTTCTAGGAAAAAGTTATAAACAATATAACTTTTACTTTGGTTATATACAAAAGCTAATATAACTCTTATGTAACTAAAATTTAAGGTGAAAAACATCACAAAAACATAATATCGTTCCCTTTTCTAGAACGATATCACGCAAAACACGCAAACACGCAAAAAACGCACGAAGAAAACGCATAGTGTAGCCAGGCCTTTATACGCCAATAAATCATCCAGCGATTTTATCCACTCGTCGCCCCTGTGCGGTGCCACGCGGGGTCGCCAGGGGTCACACGGGGTCACCAAAGGTCACGCGCGGAGACAGCTGGATGTCATCGACCGACTGAGAGGCACTGATCGGAGTGTAATCCGCGCTGCGCGCGTCCGCCGATAGCCGTTTGACAAATGTGGCCCACTTGGAACACGCCCGGCGCCGATGGCTCAAACGCCTCAGATGAATGGCCGGCACGTTTTCCATTTTGGCGCAGTGTTTGCGTTGGAGCTCGTCTGTGCCGGCCGGGCGGGCGCCGGCCGGGCGCCGGGTGGTGAGTCCGCGGAGACGCGGGTCGCGCTGAAGGTGCTGACGCCCGGCTGATTGCTCTGTGCTGTGCGAACCGTATGCGTAGTTTTATCACCGGTCCCAGCGCGCCGTGCCGCCCTCCCCCGCCGGTTCTGAATGCCGTCTGCAATAACGGAAACCGTGCAATATGCATATGAATAGCACAAAGTTAGAGTCGGGCGACGTCTCCAGCCGGGGAAAATGCCAAATGCGGCGGTAGTCGCGCGGCAGTAATGCCACCGTGGCGAAACGGCAGAGCCGGCGCGGCCATTAACTTTGGAGCGAGGTGCAAGGCAGCACGGCCGTGTCACTCGCATCTTAAACACGACATCAAAGCTGCGCTGGCCGGCCTCCTACCGTCACCGCCGGACGTCTGAAGGTACTGAGAAGGCGGGGCGGACCAGAGGCGGGGCAGGGTGAGGGAGTGACCACTGACCAGTTCCACCGCTCTGCAAGCCCGCTCCAACAGACACAGTCCGCTCTGACAGGCCCCCCTGGACAGAGCTGTGACCGTGTTTTTCACCGTTAATGAAAACAGCCAATTTATCGCTCTGTTTACATTTCAGATCCGGCCTCATATACGGAGGTGGGCCGGAAAGAACAAAGGCCTATCCGATGTGCGAAATAATAGGCTGTCATATTGGAGGGTATTAGCGTGTGCAGGTAAACAGATGAGGCGCATCTCACTCATTTCCCATTAACGGGATGAGCCAACCCCTTGGGGGATAGTTTACTAGGTCTGAAGGCTTCACAGCATGCTAAAAGTTAATTGCTTTTTGTTCCTGCTGTAAGGAGCGCGAAGGATACCAGTGACGTCACAGTGTGCCGCATATACGGTCGGGTAGACTTACCTTGAAAAGAGACGCGGAGTGAGCGGGAGTCGCGTCGGCGCGCGGGAGGTGTCGGCTGGTGTTGTGCAGCATGTAGTGTTTAATACAGAAATACGTTTCCAAACTCCTATCATCAGCGGTGGGATATCGAATTGAAAGGTTGCTACCTGTGTTTCTGGGGTTGGAGCCCTGTCTGAAGCAGTGGATCGGGACGATCCGGGGAAACGTGTGCTGCAGATCGACTGTACGGTGTGGTACAGGGAGCAATGACCGACCAGCAGGAGGCTGGGGGTGAGAACGGTGGTGTGTTGCAAACAAACCAAGGAGGTGGTGCTGTCATGGCTTATGCACCGAGAACTCGGAGCTGGGGTGGGAGTTTGGGCCTCCCAAGCTTCAACCAGAAGGATTTCAGAAGTTTCTTTCGACAGATGAGGCGGCGAGTGGCCGTGGACCAGATGTCTGAGTCTGAAGTGTACGACTTGTGCATTTATGCAGTCGGGATGGAGTCGAAGTCTGAATGGCTAGCGACAAGGGTGGAAGAGAAACTTCCCAAAACAGACGAGTCTGTACCGAGTCTGAAGGACATAGAAGAATGCATCACCGAGTGTCTGGAGCCACAACATGTAAAAGCATTCATCCTGAGGGATCTGGACCGCATGCAGCTGAGTCACGACCAAGATCCGAGAGAGTACGTCAACGACGTGTACGAGAAGGTGCAACAAGCTGTACCTGAAGGGAAAGCGGATACTTGGAAAATCATGGCGATTAACTACGCTGTGAAGGGTGCACCGGCGTCATGGCAGGTCAGGCTCCACGAAGCGAATTGTCAGTCGTTGGACACACTGGTGAGGAAGATGACCACGATACGACTGTCCGAGAAGTACCGCGATGACTCGAGAAACGCAGAAGCACGGGTGATGAAGGTCAACCGGTCAGGTTTGAAGTGCTTCGGATGCGGTCAGACTGGACATTTTGCCAGTAAGTGTCCAAAGAAGAGAGCAGAGACTAAGCATTGGAACCGTAAGTGCTACGGGTGTGGCAAAGAAGGTCACCTGAAGGCGCAGTGTCCGGAAGGAAAGGGCAAGACGCCGGATAGAGATGGCAGCGGATGCAAGAGGATTCAAACGAGTGAAGTCCAGATGACCGTCACGATAGAGGGTCAGCAGATCCAAGCTGTGGTTGACACAGGAACGAAGTTCAACCTGATGAACGACAAGATGGTCAGTCAACTAGGGCTAGAACTGTCAAAGGCGGTGATTCCGTCGCTCACCACAGCCGACGGGTCGGAGCTCGCCACAAGAGGCTGTGCGTGGGTGGAGATGGCCGTGAACGATGGACCAGAGAAAGCCACCATGTTTGTCGTGGTAAAGGACCTGACAGATGACGTGCTGATTGGGCTTGACACGTTGAAGGAGCTGAAGGCATCTATTCAGTGTGGTGAGATGCAGGTCACGGTGAAGAGAGTTCCAGAAGCCGTCCTGGATCAGTATCCGTCGCTGTTTGCTAGAGATGGTGAGGATATCGGGCGGGTGAAGAACTTCCAGTATAAGGTGCGCACGAGTGGTCCGCCAGTCGTATCAAAGCCGTACAAGATTCCCCTGCACTACCAGGAAGAGGTAGACCGCCAGCTTTCTGAAATGGAAGCACGAGGAACCATCTGCAAGAGCTCGTCGGAGTACGCGAGCCCAGTAGTGGTCGTGAAGAAAGGAGGGAACGAGCTGAGAATCTGCTGCGACTACTCGAAGTTGAACAAGCAGGTCTCGAAGGAGGCATACCCAATGCCAGCCTTGGGTGACGTCCTGTTGAAGCTGAGGGGTGGCAAGATTTTCAGTCACCTGGACGTAAAGAGTGCCTACCACAACGTGCCTCTAGATCCGGAGACGAAGCACAAGACGGCGTTTGCAGTTGGAGGCAGACTGTGGGAGTGGAACGTTCTTCCATTTGGCCTCTGCACGAGCGGACAGGTGTTCCAGCGTATTCTGGATGAGATCTTGGAGGGTCTAGACTTCGTAACGGCGTATGTAGACGACATCTGCATCTTCACAAAGGAAGACGACGAAGGACTGCACATGAAGCAGGTCCACGAAGTGTTGAAGCGGTTGGAAGCCGCTGGGCTCAAGCTTCGCCCAGACAAGTGCGAGTTCGCGCAGAAGAGCATCGTCTGCTTGGGGCACAGAGTGGCCCACGATGCAGTGAGTGCACTGGAAGACAAGACGGGGGACATCAAAAGCTGGCCAGAGCCTGAAAACGTGACAGAGCTGCGTCAGTTCCTGGGCCTGTGTGGTTTTTATCGCATGTTTGTCCCGAACTTCAGTGTGATCGCGGCACCGCTCACTGACCTGCTGCGGAAGGAGAGAACCTTCAAGTGGGAGAAGGCTCAGAGGGTGGCGTTCAACAGACTGAAGGAAGAGCTGTCGTCACCTCGGACCTTGGCGGAAGCCGACCCAAACCAAAGGTTCGTCCTGACATGTGACGCAACTGAACTGGGATGCGGAGCAGTTCTCGAGAACGGGGGAAGGCCGGTCGCGTTCGCGTCAAAGCGATGGACGCCATCAGAAGCCAAGAAAAGCACGACGGAGCGAGAGCTAAACGGCGTGATCTTCGGCATCAAGAAGTTCGCCTACTTCTTGAAGGGCGCCAAGTTTCAGGTGGTCACGGATCACCAGCCCCTGACGTACATCAGAGACAAGCGCAATGCTGAAGAGCACCTGAAGGAGAAGTTGCTTTTGCTGGGAGACTACGACTTCGAGATAGAGTATCGCCCTGGGAAGGACATCCCACATGCAGACGCACTGTCGCGGAAGCCGGCGCGACGGGTCGCGGTGACGGAAACGGACGTGGCAGAAGCCGTGGAAACCGACCAGCGTTTGAAGGTCGTTCGGGACGGTTTGCTGACTGGAGGTCGGTGGAACACAGACGATCCGGAGTTGAAGTTCTACCAGAAGGACAGAGGAAATCTGACGGTGGAAGATGGAGTCATCTGGAGGTCCTCCAGGAACGGAGAAGAAAAGCAGATCGTGGTACCGACTCGACTCCGGAGAACGGTACTCAAGCTCGCCCATGATCATCCTGGAGCGGGACACATGGGGGTGCGACGCACCTTGGCAAGGATAACCGCGCACTACTACTGGTTTGACGTCAAGAAGGATGTCAGAAGCTGGATCGGGAACTGCCTGGTCTGTGCAAAGAGCAAGATCCACCGGGCGAAGCAGCAAGAGGGAATCGGAACCGTTCCTGTTTTGGGACAACCGGGGACGCAGTGGGGTGCCGACATACTAGGTCCTCTGCCGAGAACGGATCGCGGCAACAGGTATGTCCTCGTAGTGACGGACCTATTCACCAAGTGGGTCGAGCTGTTTGCTCTGAAGGATGTAACTGCAAGGACGGTCGCAAGGAAGGTGTCGAAGGTGTTCAGACGTTTCCCAAACAGTCGAGAGATCCTGACGGACCAAGGGAAGAACTTTGAGTGCGACCTGATGCGGTCCCTGTGCGAACTGCTGCAGATAAACAAGCTGCGCACGACTGCGTATCACCTGCAGGGGAATGGCCAGACGGAGCGCTACAACGCGACCCTGTGCGACCTGCTCCGGTCGTACGCGGAGACGAAGGAGTGGGACGAGATGTTGCCATGGGCGGCATCGGCGTTCAACACATCAGTACACACCAGTACGGGGTATGCACCGCATGAGCTGGTGTACGGAAGCACGCCAGCGGGAGCCGTAGTGCACGAAGTGCAAGGTGCTCCTGTACCAGACGTCGTGAAGACGTATGCTGAGTACGACAAGGACTTGCGCTCGGGCGTCCAGAAGAAGACGAAGGAGGCGCTGGAAAACATCAAGAAGGGGGTGCGTGGTCGAACGGAAGAGCCGAGGGGAGACGGATTCGCTGAAGGAAGTTTCGTAATGATGAAGAAACAACGACGCAGGCAAAAGCTACAACCTCTCTGGGAGGGACCATATGAGGTACTGAAAAGAGAACGCCCGGACTACATTATCCTACGGAGAGGCGCGCAGTACAGAGTCCATGGGGCACATCTGAAGGGCTGGAAAGGAGACTATACGGGTGACCCTGAAGATGAACCAGACACGGAAGAAGAGCCGGGGTCGATCTCCGCTGGAGAGGGTCAAGTGATCTTCGGAGAGAGCGAGGCGGAAGACGTCGACGAGCGAAGTGTCGCCGAGGAGACGCATGATCCGGCCGAAGCAGATGCTGGACACTCAGCGCCGGACAAGATGGAGGAACCGGAGGACGAGCATGATAGCCTAGGATTTCTTCCAAAGACGAGTCGCTTTGGTCGAAAGGTGACACGCAATAGGCGTTACATGTGAGTGTATGTGTCCCAGCGCTCCTGTCAATTGTTTTAAGGATAGGGGGATGTAAGGAGCGCGAAGGATACCAGTGACGTCACAGTGTGCCGCATATACGGTCGGGTAGACTTACCTTGAAAAGAGACGCGGAGTGAGCGGGAGTCGCGTCGGCGCGCGGGAGGTGTCGGCTGGTGTTGTGCAGCATGTAGTGTTTAATACAGAAATACGTTTCCAAACTCCTATCACCTGCAATAGGGGAAGTAGGAAAAGAAAAGAAAAGGGAAGCTTCGCATGCCTACCGTTATAAGAAAAGGAAACGGCTTTCAAATACTGATCTCAGGCAGCTTTTGCCAAATTGTCAGGGAACTCAGATTTGTTTTTCAATAGAAAAACACAATTCTAAAGAATAGTGTTTTAACTATTGACAACAAACCTTCGGTTACGAGTGCCTATAGGTACCTACCTATTTGTTTCCCTCTTAGGTTACCTAATATGACACCACTTCGTGGTCAAAGCGTAGGCTGGACAATAAAACCATAGCTGCACGTTACCATGCTTGTGTAAATAATTATTGGAATCATTACAGACGATTGAATTGATGGAAGGAATGGATCGTAAGTGATGCCCTCAAAACGCAAATGAAGCAAGTGTATTGCAGCTCTGCATTGTGGCATTCCCGGGAGACTTATCGACCTTTTTGATGACATCGTTCAGGAGACACCTCATGTTACCTTTCAATCAGACATAGCAATCACCCCAATTTCGCCTCTCGTTTCCACACCTATCTATTTTAATGAGAAATATCCAGCTAATGCTCCTGACGGGGCCCTGCGGCACAGTATCACTTACGGCGCTCACAACTAGCGACATCTAGGAGCTATCATGTAAGCTGAATCACACTGGACTGGGCGAGTTCTGCCATGACAACCAACTGTGCTTTATTGTAAGCTTCGATGAACTTATATGCAAAATAACATAATTATCAACTCGCTGAAGTTTGGGGTGCTGATATCACAATATACATTTTCCTAAATAGGTATACCTATCACATTCAATGTGGCTTGCTTTCACGTGGTAACACTATGGGATGAAAACTGATTCTGATTTTACGCAGGCGGTGCAGTCTATGCAGCGGACACTAACTCAACTAATTATTTCCAATCCACTGAGTTGAAGTCTCATTACTGTAACCAAATGGAACAGAGGACTCTGTAGTCTATATAGCGCTAGATCGTTAGCACGCAATCACTTTAGATTCGACCATGCATTGGGACATGGATACGGCGAAATATCATATCGACATACACAGGGAGTTATAAAACGATTCCGCATAGACGAGCATTCCTACAAGCATGCTGCCAACATATATTCAATTTTAATCATACATCAGTTATAAGCATAAGCAGAGTGCTAGATTTGACAAATTCCCGACGAAAACGAGCTTTCCGCATACATTTAAGTAACAATAAATCTTCGCATCTTTAATATTCTCTAAAGTAGCCAATTTTATCTGTGAGTTGCGTGATGTCTGCCGTAAAATCTGCACCGACTGCAGGGAGAACATAGCGGCAGGTTCTCTGTAAACCTGCAAGATACGGTGCGGCCACATTAAAACTGCAATAGCCTTCTCGGTGGGGACGGACGCCTCTTTGGCGAGTGATTTACGACCCTCTCTCATGATATGGACATAAGTACGGTTGATGTGCCCCGGGACGCCTTGTGTGTCTCGGAAAAATGTGATGGTGTAAACCGACAGAAACAGCGCCTCTGTAGCCACAATGCCACTCACCGATAACGACCAGCCCACGCATCCCACTCACCGATGACGAAGAGCTCGGTGGCCACCCTCATCGTGCCGAAGCCGTTGACGGCAATACAGACGTAGACTCCGGCATCGTCTTCTGTGACTCGCGAGACGCGCAGCATGTTCTCGCTCAGGGTGAACCGGTCCCAGGCGTCCAGGATCTGCGTGCCGTCCTTCTTCCACTCCAGCATGGGCGGAGGCGTGGCGGCCACGGGACAGCTGAGACGGACATCATCCCCCAGACGCACCACCAGGTGAGGAGAGACCTTCTGCTTCAGCACCGGCGGACCTGGCGGGCAGAGACGGGGGTGGTGAGAAGGTGAGAGGGAGAGAGAGGGAGAGAGGAGAGAAACAGGGAGAGAGAGGAGAAGAGAAAACAGCCATGTTTGTATGGCTGCTTAAAATAGGATCTTGTCTCTTGTAATAGACATCAATTGGCTGACATCGTTTGGAACAGTTGAACACCAAACGTCCAAGCCCCATTATCAATCTATGCATACACAAGTGCCTGCACATGACCATTCACCAATCGGCACTGATATATTTAACCCCGTGAAGTCACGCTGGATGGGTTCGCGGTCCTGTCAGACCCACTAATGTCGAGGTCAGGAAGATTTGCAGCCGCCCGGGAGAGATAAACATCCGACTGCAGCGCTCGCGTCAACTGTCAAAGTCGACGGGCGCCACTAACACTTCGTCATTCGTTAAAACATCCAGCCGCTAAATTATGATTTATGAATAACTGCACGCGCGTTATCTGGACATTAACTAACCGTGACATGACGTGGCAGCCGGCGCGGAGGGGGAGGCGCGTCCAAACGCGCGGCGTCATCGGCGCCGGGCCGCGGAGCCGCCCTCGACTGGCCGTGCCGAGGTCATCGGGCCGGCCCATCGGACAGCGGCGCTAACTTGCGCCGGCTACCGCCTATCGCCGCCGCCGCGGCGAGGCCATCCGGCCCACATCTCTGTCACAAAGTGCTAACTAGGGCCCGCACCGCGCCCCGACAGCTGATATTTGTCACCTGAGTGGCGTGCCGCCGTGCTGATAACTCAGCCTCGCTTCCAGACTGTCACAGCTGTACTTGTGGGCCGTTCGATCTGGCGTTCGATTATCTGACACCTCGCAGCTCGCGGACGGCTCACACCTGCTCACCTTCACCCGAGCTCGCCTCTCACCCGGTCGGTCACATGGGGGAGTTTGCGACATGACTTGGTGTCCGGGCCGGCCGGTCGACCTGGCTCGCTCCCCCGTTCCGAGATGTGATTTGGCCGGTGGCGCTGGCGCGCGACAGCAATTAGAGCGGATTAGTGGCGCTGCTCCGCGGCCGGCAGTGGCGGCCAGAGGCCGGCGCAGGGACGTGCCGCGGATTACCCACAATCCGGAGATGCCGTGTGTCTCCGCTCGGCCTGGGTGGCGGCCGGCCGTGGCACGTGACGGCTGTCCGGCCGACACTGACGGACCGTCATCGGAGCACGTGGCGCACGTGGCACCCGTCATCCCCCGCCACCGGAGGGGACAGCAGAGAGCGTGACAGGTGGGGTCAGAGACCCCGGCGATATGGGATGGCAGTATAGACATAGAGGGATATGGCAGAATGGGCTTTGCGAGCTGGAAGTGGCAGCATGTTCGAGGAACTCTTGCACCGGTGTTTGTGCAGCATTTATTGAACTGTGTTGCTGTGTCCATAATACACTATAGATCAGATCACACCGCCACTTAGTCGCCAGTCGGGCATAATTCAGCGATTTATATTATTGACACGGCGATATCGGCTCGGTAGATACAGGTAAGTGCCACTCTACTCATACATTTGATGTGTGCTATCTAAAGCTTGTCGAATGTGATGCCCTTGACCGGCGCGGCTGATCAATGCCTTCTAACACGCCAACCGGCGGTTCCCGTTCGCGTCACTTCACCATAACTATGACAGACGGCCTGTCGCACCGGCCCAGACGCAGACAAACGCGTCGATCGCCGCCGCTGACACCTCGGCATGCCGATCGGCCGGTTTTTCTCGGCGTTCGAGCCGCGATGGCCCCCGTGACGTCACAAAACCAACAGCGCGCTGCCGGCGCGCTCGTTATAACCAGCGGCTCGTAAAAGCTATCGCGGCTATCGGTGAGCTCGAGAGAGGGCCTCAGCCACTTTTTAGCAATTAAGATACCGGTTTTGACAGATAGTGAGCGGCAGGGGACACCCGGTCACACCAGGCCGGTGGCTGTCGGTCGCGGTGACACGGGCTCCTGATAGCCGGTCGGACCAAACCCCGATGGTTAGTAGACCCACCAGCGAGTAGCCGCGATTAGATTCAAGCCCAGCACGGGTCAGGCGGCGTCAATGCGGAGGTAGCCTCACCTCCGCCAAATGCAACAGCGGCATATCTTCCTCGATACGTGACTAATGTGCTGGTTTTACTTGCGGAATCATGCGCCATGCATGTGATGTGTTTTGATGCATTGTTGGACCTTAGGCATGTGTATAGAATGGAACAATATACACGAGCGCGAACAATACCACACGCGATATTTATAGCACGAACTCTCACAGTTCAAACATTCCTTGGCACGTACGTCATACGTGCCCAATGTACCGTTTCGTCGTTCCTACCCAGTCCCTTTCTCTGGCTGTCGTCCCATGGCCTCGCAGGACCTCCCCGGCTGTGTAGCACCATCCGACCACATCCGGTGTGACGCTGGCGCCGGAGTGGGGAGACGGTCCCGTCCCGCCACCCCTCCAAACAATGCCACGCACTACAGGCGCGCGCACGCGCCCACAGCCGCCGAAAAACAGGACTGCGACGCCCCGTTTCCGTGCCAAATAAAGATGTCGACGCCGGCGCGCATTTCCACGCGAAATAAACATGTCTCGCGGCTAGCGGCCTGTCGCCAGAGACGGTAAACAAGGTGAGCTAGGTAAACGGTCGCGGCGAATCGGCTCCGATATGCCGGATGACACTGACAGCCCCGCCGTTCGGACGCTCCGGCCGGGTTGGAATTCCGGGCGCGGTGCGCAGACGGCGCGTTTTATCGTCTCCGGCGGTGCAGGTAACGCACAGAAATGGCAATGAAACTGAGGACGGTCTTTGAAAACAGCGGCGCCAGCGGACCCTTTGTCAGAAGTGGAGTGTGTGGTTTGATCTACTAAAATGGAGCATCGCAGTGTACTCTAGCTTCTGCTAAAGTTTTTGCCCACTGGTGGCGGTTTGCTGTGTAAATATTTGCCGGCAGGCCTTTAAGTGCAAGCCGGTCGCTTCTTTGCTTTGCAGTTGAAAGTAATGGGCCTGACATCCTCCAGCCAGCATGGCCGATGTCCATTGATCAGATAGGGAATCGCCAGCCGGTTCCCAACCAGTCGCCGGCTCAGTTATCGCGGGCTGCCGCCGAATACGATGGCTGTTTATACTGGGCGTTAGCGCTTTTAGTGTCGTCATTAGCGGCGGATTAGAGCGATAAACTCATGGCGAATGACTTCACGCCTGTCCGGACGGAGCATTCTCCTCCGAAACGACTGGTCAGCCCGACACGGCGCTGTCTGCCGAGTTACCGCACGAGGCACCGCATAGCGCGGGCCCACCCGCGTGCCATTGCCGCGAGCTGTGCAATGGCGAACTACAGGGCCAACGGTCGCATCCAGAGAGAGATATCAAGACTAGCATAGGCGGAATCATGATGACATCAGCTCCGAGCCGCGCTGCGCTGGGCTGGGCTGGGCTGGGCTGGGCTGGGCTGGGCTGGGCTGGGCTGGGCTGGGCTGGGCTGGGCTGGACAGACACGGATGTGCAGCCCCGCCGGCTGATGGCAAACAGATAGAGGCCGAATCGTCGGCTCGGCGGCCCGCTCACCCGTGTACATGACACTAAATCAGCCGGCGCCGACCAAGATAAACGAGCGTGGCGCAAAGACAACATGGACTCCATGAGCCGAATACCAGATGAGGCAGGCCGACGGGTCATCAGCGCGAGAGAGACACACGGCACGGGAGACAGCACGGCAAACGGACAGGATGGTAAACGGAGAGGAGACGGGACAGGAGACGGGACGGAGATGGGACGGAGACGGGACGAGACGAGACGGAGACGGAGACGGGACGGAGACGGAGACGGAGACGGGACAGGAGACGGGACGGGACGGGACAAGACGGAGACGGGACGGAACGGACGGGACGGAGATAGGACGGAGTCGGAAGATAGAGAGTGAGACGGACGGAGACGGGATGGAGACGAGAAATGGAGCTGGTAAAAGGACAAGGCGATGAAATAGCACATGAACCAGGTTCCAGTGAGCGGATAAATGTTAATTCATTAGTTCATAAAGTCGATGGGAAAATATCATACTGGATCCAATCTTCCCAATCTAGTCCATAGTTTTAGTCACATAATTCACTTTCCCTTCACATGCGACATCGGAAGCGTCACGCAAAAACTGTGAGTAATGTCTAAAAAAAAAACACGAGTGTCGAACGGTCTTCTTTTTTAGCGATCATTTCTGCTGGCTACATCATTAAACACTCCCTAAACAGTTGCTAAATCCTCTTCTTTCTGTCTCCCCTCGTGTGAACCGAGGCAGCAGCCGCAACTGCCGGCTGCGCTCATCCCACTGCTCTCCGAGCCACTCTCAGCGGGGAGCCCTGGCTCCGGTCGCCGGCCGCCTCAGCCGACAGCCGCGTCCGCCGCCCGTCGTGTCGCGTCGCGATTTATGCACGCGCGCGCGTGGTTTTTGCCCTCTCGGCGGCGCGGTGCGGGGCGGACGCGGCTGATCTCGACCGACCGGCCGCGGCGGCGCGGTCAATTTATCGCGTGTCACCGCTGCTCGATGGTGCGCTAAAGAACAGCGCGCGTATAAATACGACGGAACAATACAGGGCCGGTGAAAAACGGCCATGGCGCCCGGCCGATAGGGCACGCTCAATCGGCGCTGATGAATGCTGGTCAGCTGGCGGGCGCGGGCGGTCCGGGGTGGCTGCGGCGGACTGCGGCGGACTGCGGGGGCGGCGCGGACTGGACTGGGCAGCTTTGTGGGGCGCAGTGAGATGTTGCAGGCGGTGATGAGAAATGAGCGGATCGGACGAACAAGGTCGGCCGGGTGAGAACTGGGGCTGCAGGGCGCCGGACGGCCGGAGGATGAAGGGGAGTGCGTTCACTCCGACAGCCAAGGTATTCACTCGGCCCGGTTCCCTCAGCTGGAGGCTGGTTGTGACGGGTATGTCACTCAGTCCCGCTGCCGGCGCCCGTGTAACCAGCTGGTGCACTCGGAGAGACTCCAGCAGAAGCAGAAGACCGGCACACCATT